CTATAAGCGGCACTTATAGCGTTATAATAGTTCGAGAATGCTATCTCCTCTACCTCCGTTACCTTTCGCTATCCTTTCTACCTTACCGCTATCTACGACATTAAAAGAAGCTATCCCGCTTAACAGCCCGTTATTATCGTCGATACTACTACCTTCTCTAATCTCTAAAACCTACTATACTTATAGTAGTAACATCGAGGATTAATTAATCTAGAATATCTCGCCTTCGTATAGGATACATTAACGTCTATAGCCTAATAAGCGATAAATGGCGTGCTTTACTCGCCCTTCTAGACTCTAGAAGTTACGATCTACTATTCGTAGCCGAAACTTAGTACGTCGGTTATAACTTCTACTCTCTCGACTAACACTTTATTACCTCGATAACCTAAGGCCGAGATGCAAAAGTTATAGTAGCTAAAGGTCGCCTAAGTAGTAGTATATACCTACTTAGTATAGTAGAGGCTAGAGGATATATATACGGCGTTCTTAGATTTGTTAGCGAGTTATCTATTACTATGTCTATCGATACAAATCGCTTTATAGTTTCGGGTGTCTATCTGCCTCTAAGTATAACTCTTGTAGACGTATAAACCGTACTCGACGGCCTATCCGAGTCCTTATCTATAGTTTTAGGTAACATTAACATACGCTTTCGAGATAAGGTATATTAATAAGGCGCGCTCGGACTACCCGATCGACTCGCCGTCTTTACCGATTTCCTTTTATAGTAGCGTATCGATCCCTTCTTCTATCTAAAGCTATTATTACCTTTACTACTATTACTACTATTATTACTATCGTCGTTATTACCCTTACTACTACTGCTATCGACTTCGCCGCTTACTACCTTTATAGACAACTAGGCTAAAACGTCTTTAACATTAATGTTCTAGACCCAACTTACTATAGACTACTATTTTATAAAAGGGAGACATTAAAGAAGGTATACCCTTTGCCTATTCGATAATAAGAACTATACCTAGATCCGAATAGACTATCTCTATATACTATATCTTATAGTTAGCTCCGTTAAGAGTCGAAGAGGTCTTAATAGTCTATCTGTTAGCGTCGATAAGAAAAACGACATTCCCCGATATAAGACTAGCAATCTAGCTAAGGATAATGCGCTCCTTAAGATTACTAAAAACTTCGAGACCTTACATTCGTCGTCTACAATAGAAGCTATAGCAGATATAGACAAGATTAACACTAGACTTATAACATTATGTTAGAAGATCTGTAGATTAGTCCTCGGTTAAGTTAATAATCGATCTAAGAAGAGTGCGGATAGTAACGTTACTTCCTCTAATAATGGTAATAGAGAAAGAATAAGAAAAAGAAGAGCAAGAGGCGATATAGAGGTTAAGACCGGCGAGGTTAGTAATAATACTACTACTACTACTACTATTACTACTACTTCTATTACCATTACTACTACTACTTCTATTACCGTTGCTACTACCGCTACTACTACTACTACTACTACTACTACCCCTACTACCTCTTCTATAATAATAGGTAGCGTAAAACCTACCCTCTTAACCCTAGAGGATAACTAATCGTTTAAAAACAGTGTTTAGCTTTACAAAAAGGCTATAATTATTTCTAAAGAGAACGATATTATTATACTAATGGAGAGAGTAAAGGTAACAAACGTTATAGCACTAAACGAGAACCTCGTATTACTAAAGGGGAGATATACCTCTTCGAAACAGTTATCGCTACTATTAAAACTGCCGTCGTGCTTTACTACTATTATTGGTACGACGGCTGTTTTGTAACAGTTTACTTCTTATGCTCTTCCTTATGCTTATCCTTACCTTCTATCTCTATTTACGATCGATTAGATTACGCTAGAAATTATGCGGCAAGATGCTTCTAAATCTTGCGGTGCTAACAGTCTATATATTCGCTTCCTTAAAGCTCTTATAGACTGTCCTACTTTTCTATAGTCGCTCTATTACTTGTACGTATAGTGTCTCTTATCTATAAGAACACCTACTACTTAGAATGAAACCGAGATTTACTTGTTAATTAAAGACACTACTAAACCGCAGGATGCTAATAACCTTCGCCCGATTACACTAATCTACATGTTTTGTAAGGTATTCGAACGTCTCTTACTCTCTTAATTTAATTATAACGGATAGGCTAAGATCTACCCCGCATAAGCTAGCTTTCGTAGCTACTATTCGACATATACTAATGCTACGATAGTTTACTACGCTCTTTCTACTAGCTTACGTAAAATTGCTGTCTTCCTAGATTTTAAGTCTACGTTTAATGTCTTAGACTATTCTATACTCGAACGTGTCCTTATNNAGCGTAGTTNTCTATCCTACTTGCTTACCTTAATTAAGAGTCTTACGTTCGATAACGTCCGATCTAGGGTCTTAGTAAACGGCGAGGCTTCGGACTAGTTCCGGCGGACTTACGGTGTGTTATAGGGCTCTCCGATCTTACCTCATCTATTTAACTTCTTCGTAGATAGCTTAATTATAGAGCTTAACATTAACTATTTACACCTCGGAAAAGACCCTATACCGTATACTCTATTCTATGCTAATAACAGTACTTTACTTCCTACCGACTATAACGAGGTATAGCAGCTTCTATAGATTATAGAACGCTAGTTAGATATTAACAGTCTAAGACTAAACGTACGTAAGTGTAGTTATATGTTACAGTATCTAATCCTATAGGCGCTCTTTCTTAACTATAGGATAGAGCAGATTCTGCTTATGTAATAGTACGACTACCTCGGTTTTCTAATAATAGCGCGAGGTATTAACTTCGAAGCATATCTTACCCGTCGTATTAGTACGGCTATAGCGCGTACTAACTTCCTATCGATCTCTTCGGATTTATAGGGTCCCGTACATAGACTACGCGTGTTTAAGCGGTACCTCGCCCCTATATTTAAGTATAGTGTACCTCTAGTTATCGCCTAGGCTAACTCTTACTCGCTAAATGCTACTAAGTTTTAAGCTTGCCTTACGAAGACATAAGACTTAATCTTCTAGATTACTAATTCTAAGTTATCGTACTATATTATAATGAATATATACGGTCTTCCTCTACTAGAGTCGAGATTTCGGCTATTAAGGACCTCCTTCTAACGCATCCTTAACGAATCACCTATATAGAACCCGCTTAAACGGATTATAAGCATGCTACGATTAAGGCTGTTTTCTTTAGCATTTGCATACGCTCTATCCTATAACTTTAGTTAGAATGTGTTTGTCGTATAAAACAAAATTGACCCTACCGCGAGACCTTAAACATTTAAATAGTACCTTCGACGTAAGCTCTCCTCTATCGTTCTAGAGGAAGCTAGTTAGAAACACCTTACTAAAGTTATTACGCCCGAATTGAGAAAGGTGCCTAGACTATTTATAGCGGACATTAGTCTTGTAGCGCCTATCTCTAAGTAAGATAATCTCTTCTAGTATTAGTAAGGAAGTTTTATGTTTAGCTTTCGCTATAAGTGTAATCCGGACAGAAGTTTTAGAAGAGGCCATAAAAGCTATTCCCTCTTGCTACATCTATCTAGACTTATAAAGGCCGAACGCGAGCAAAAGTAAGAGCTAACGGAGCGACTCGAGGGTTCTAGACTAGTTATAGACGTAGACATCCTATTAAACAACTAGCAACTAGATCGTGCTACTAAAGTTCTTATGTCTNATAAACTAGCCTTACTAAAGTGAGTAGATATAGACTAGGCAAACCGAAATAGGAATAAACAACACTTTGTAGTCCTAGAGGAAAAGGATATACTAGAAAAATACCTCCTAATAGGAAAAGATAATCGGACCTTCTATTAAATATATAAAGGCGCTAGCGTCCCGCGTAAGGGTAAGCTAGTAATAGCTTCGACGAAAAAAGCGTAGGCCCTATACGCTAGTCTTATAGTATAGAAGAGGACGACGGAAACGAGGACTAGGGAGTAGGCTTTAGACAGGAGCTAGACCTAGCTACGGATTACGACGGAACTCTTCGACCTATCTAAACTGCTACTAACTACTGGCTATTAGTCGAATCCTAGACCGCCTTAGTTCGGCTAAGACATCTAGGGGGAACAGCTAAGGAGCATCTCGATATAAGCTAAGGGATTACGCTAGGGGTACATCGAGACGAGCGGAGAAAGTAATGCCTTACCCGCATAATCTAGTGTTCGCGAGGGAGGATATAGAAAACCCTACGCATTAGTAAGAACATCGTAAGAGTTAGGAGAAAGAGGAGGAAAGGGGAGTTATTAGTCCCTAAGAGAGACTAGCTAAGAAAAAGCTAGGGGATAGCGATATAATATCGGAAATCGTCGAAGGGTTATCCGATTGCTTTACTAGTCTACGAGCTAGATATAGGGGTCTACTTAGGCCCCCTACGATTCTAGCAGGAATAGACCTAGATTACGGCGACTAATAAGGACGGCGGCATGCTAATTAAAGGCTATAGGAGGAAAAGAGTCTTAGGGCCAGTTCCCTTAAAGTACTCTAATAAAAGAAGATCTAGGAGCTAGATAATCCTAATAAAACCGACTAGCGGCGGACACTACGCTCTACTACGAACAGATTTTATAACAAATCTAGACGACATCTTAACATCGGGCCTAGATAGTAGGACTACGTCTCCTACGTCGCTAGAGCCCAATACTACTAAGGGAGAACGAAGGATAATAGATCTAGGCGACGACCTTAGAAAACTCTAACTAATAGAGACCTTATTAGGAGATTTATAAGCGGGACGTTCTAATAAGCGATAATTAAATCCTTAGACGGGAGCTCTCCTAAACATTTGATAGCTTATGCTAGCAGTAGCTCTAGCATCGCGCTCTTCCCCTAGCTTACCTGTTAATAAACTCTTAGAGATACGGATTCTCTATTATACTTTAGTCCCCTAGATTAACTTTACTAATAAAATTCGGAACCTCTATATATAGAGGGAATAGAAGGACTGCTAGCGTACTGTAGCGCGCTTAAAAAGGACTTTACCCTATTCTATATAATGTCCCCTACTTTAGAAGGAAGGGGGTTACTTTCCTTTAGCTAAGATGGCCCTATTAGGGACCTGTAAAATCTAAGAGACGTTAGCGTCGCCCGCGCTAATTTATTGCATCTCTAGGATAATATTTTAGGTCGTACGGAGCGGTAAGCTACTACATCTCTAGTCTCTTCCCCCTAGGCGGGTTTATCGAAATAACTATAAGTAGGACGATCTAGAGGACACGGTCTATACTAGTTTTCTAGGCTCTTAAGTCGGATGATCCTAGAGGAAAGACTAACTAGTTATATATAGATAGACCTCTCCGATTAGCGGCGTGTTAGTAGAGATTCCTTTAGGGTCCCTTTAGATATATAACATAGTTAAGCTAAGAAGCGGAAGGAGTAGATCGAGGAGGAGTTCGTGTAGTACAAGTAGCTTTAAAAGTAGTTTACTATACTACATCTAAGCCGAGTCGGACCTCTAGAAGTAAGCAGGTAGGCTCGCCCTTTAGATATAGTTCATTCTGTAGTAGCCTAAATACTAAACCCCCTAACCCTAAACCCTATATATAAGCTTACGGCCGTCATTAAAGTTAAGTACTCTAATTTTAAGTACACTATTAACAGGTAGGAAGGTATCGAATAGGCAAAAGGGCTACTAGTACACGATATCCTATTAGAGAAACTATTCTAACTCTTCTTTGCTCTTAGTTATGTTCGCTAGTCGCTCGACATTAAGGTCGTTTTCGGTAGTAGGGGCATAAGCAAGAAGCGCAATTATGGACTTAAACACCTATATAGATCTGCCCTAGCAGCCCTTAGGGAACTACTCTTAATAATAATCGACTAGGTTCTCGCTCATGTCCTAGGGTTCTTTAACAAGGATAGCGATCGTAATCTTAAGAATATGCTCAAATTTTATTAGATTAACCTTACGAAAGGTGCCTAAGCTAATCTAAAGAAGGTCGAGGATGCTCTAGATTACGAACGCAAAGAGATAGGTTAAAAGATCCTTATAAAGTACCTTAGCAAGTATGTGCAAGAGAATTGCAAATAGAGACGATCTCTAGCTAAGTAGTACGACTATCTTAGACACATTTTTAAGTAGGCATTCCCTGAAATTAAGTGGGATGGGGACGTTTAGACCGAGGACTATTATAGGGAACTCGAGGTAGACATGGACAAGTGGCTTCTAATAGATGGATAGCAATATTGATTTCGCAAACTTTGCCAAACATAAATTCATCGATACTGAACCGTTTCAAGTTGTACTGCAGAAATGATTCGCATTGTTCCAGAGTTTCTAGCTCGTGGATTCGAAGGTCGAGGGATGATTCGTTGATTGGCAAGTGTAGCCGGCTTCTTTGTATAGACAATGACACAGAACGCGCTTCCTAAACGAGCGAACACTGCAAGCATGTGACAAAGAGGCGTTCCCATCTCCGAGACCCACAAGCGGTGACTGGCGTCATCCACTGCTTCAGACCATCTTCGCATTGTCCATGGCCTTAGCAAGCGACTCAAACTTGTGCGGGGTCTCGCTTTGTTTTACAAAAGACTTGCAAGCGCTCTGGGCTGACCATTTCGGGGTCAAGACCATCAGCAGCAGCCTTTCTGTGCTGTTGCGACATCACCCAAAACACTCTTGCGCCCCAAAGCTGAGCACAACTGAACAACAGATGCAGTGTCGGGCTCAAGACCTTGAACTCCAGGGTCCAATGTCTCCATAGAGAGAAGAAGATAGAGAATACCGTCACTGTCTCGACGATGGTGCCAATTATTTCGAGTATCGCTGTCGCAAGAAAGATGTCGGCAAGCATCATGTGTTTCTTGGGCCAGGTACGATACACAATGACAGCGGCATGAGGCCAGAACTCTGCGACAATATCAAAGAACCCTTGATAGCATCAGCATGACGATCACTCCGTGGAACAGACACATTCAACTCACCCCATAGCAGGCACATGATAAATTCCAGCTCTGCATCTTGTTGATGTTTCGGGTCCAAGAACAGAACTATGGCAGTCTGCGTAATGATGATTGCGCCGATATGATGAGCTCCACTGATGTAGCTGACCTTCTCGCGGTAGAAGAGCTCGAAGATGTACATTGCTGTAAACACTTGGAAGGTGCAGAGAAGCACATCGCCATCCTTCACCGTCGAGCTACCTGCAAAGGGCGACTGCAGATTCTTGTGACCAGAGATGACCGATATCGCAGGGTAGACGGATGCAATGATGAGTATCAGCTTGATGCTGGCTGCGACATAGTGATTGATGAAGCTTCGCTTTTGCGCTTGGTCGAGGTGCTTGTACTCGGACGTGTATCTCTTGACCAGTGGCTCCAGAAGATACATTCGGACGAGGAATATGACGACGCATGAGACTGTAAGTATGAGTGCTGAGTACGGTACCAGCTTGGATAGCTTCGCATGTTTGTGATGCGGGTCGTCAAAGTTCTTCGCAAGTTGACTGTATGGCATGTTGGGCTAGGGAAGAAGTCGGGGGCCGTCACGTCTTGTTGCGCAATGCGCTCGAAAGGCTCAGTCGCCAGAGGCCGTTGGTCTTGAAAGCTTGCAAGGAGTACAGATTTGAGTCGCTGTTGGCAGGTAGGCTGCCTGGATCGAAGTATGGTCGGTTGAAGAGTTGATCGATATCCTAAGAAGCTGGGCAAGTCCAAGAGGAGTCGCTGCCTTTTACAGCACGAACATCACAACCCGTATTGAGGCATCCGCAGACATGGGAAACAAGCCACAAGGCAGAGGGATTGCGTGGCCGCATCGCTATAGCGCTCGCTATTTCGAGCAGAACTTTGTTTACGAGACCCCTGATGGACGCTTCGAATTTCGCACCAATCCTGAGTAGGTGCGTAGCCGAAGGGAGAGTAGACAGAGGTCTTTGCTAAGCTTTCCGTCCGGGAATAGAGTGGAAAAGACAGAAGGTGAGTCCTAAAGGGTGACGCGTCGCCGGGTGCCGACCGTTGTGAAAGCGGTACGGGGCGTCGACTCTTCAGAGTCTCGACCAGGCACCGAATCCTGGCTGTTCCTGAGATCTGGTAAGAAGTTTACAAGAAGGCCACTTCGGCATGTCGTTGCGCGATTTTAAAGCGTAGTACAAGTATTCTCGATAAGGATGAAGGTCGTAGAGGCTGGAGTGTCGCTGCTTTGCTGAGATGGCAGGACCCAGTCGCAAGATCGCTGCCAAGATGCCGAATCATAATCACGAAGTATGCGTCGAGGTCAGAACGACTCAGCCCGGCTCTTGTGTCCAGGAGACGAATTGTCGTTGCGTGCGCTGGGATGGGCATATTCACAATGTGCTGCGGATGGCGACGCAAGCGACATTGACATGATTGTGGCAGTCCGTGGACGCCGCTCGCGATCATCCACTTCAGGCATGTCCAGCAATGTTGAAAGAGCAATTTCTTGCCCGGCTCGGGTACAAACAACATTCTGACACTTGCCATCGCCTGCCCTGACGGACATTGGTATGACGACTCTTCCAAGCGGTCGTGAAACCTCGCATGTTGTCGCGTTCTCATCACCAAGCACCATGACTGCGGCGCCAGGACGAAACCCAGAGGCCGGTGATTACACAATTGAGTGTCCAGGACATGGTATAGGAAGCAGAACGAAGGCGCACATTGCTAGTGGGCTCAGAGTGTCCAGATTGGGCTTTGAAAGGCATCAGACAAGAGTAGCGACGCCAAATGGATGCGGACGAGTCTGCAGTGATGAGACCGTTATGGCTCAAACTCTGCCGCACCGACTACAAGAGTTGGAGTCATGGATGTGCAAGCGACTGATACATGTAGGGGCCATGGATGAGAGAGTGAGAAGAGTATCGAATGACTGCGCGGATGCGGTTCGACTGTGGTGTTGTTGTGATGTGTCTAGGTGTTTGGGTCTGGTCATGCGTGCGGCTGCAATTTGCGACGCTAAGGACTGATCAAGTCGCTTGGGGTGAATTGCTTCCGACTATACTTCTGGTCCCGCAGTATGCGATGAGATCAAAATGCGACAGGCGTGTCATCGTCCAACTCAACAGTGTCTAAGAAGAACATTTGCGGTCTCGTCAGGGAGTTGCGGTTATGCAATGTGCGATGGTATTTCTCTGGGCGTCACTTCCTCGCAAATTCGATTCGGCTTCTTGTCGAAACAGATCAACCGCATCAAAGGCGCATGGAGGCAAGGACAAACACAGGACACTCAGGATACTTCCAAGATAGATTTCATTCCAGAAATCGCGAATAGCACGCGGTGTCGCAAGTCATCATCGACGAACTGCTCGAAACAGGGTGGTGAGCACGACAAGCCAAGCTTTGCGGCTCAATTCACAGGCTCGTGTACGATATTTTTTCAAGCGACGTCAAAGTGAGAACGAAGGGAGCACCTCAAGATCTGAACTCCCTGGCAGCAATCTCGAACATACTCGATGCAATAGAAGAGATAAGGAAGTCACGAAGAACAAGAGAAACGAAAAAGAAGATGACTGTCGCCAAGACGATCAAACCGTCAAGGCGGGTCGTGCGCAAGAAGGAACCGGCGGAGGTGGAGGCGGAGCAAGCCGCTCCTGCCTGCGGAGCCTCGAGAAACTCAAACGCCGGGCGCATCTTGCACCTTCCGTCTTTCCTCGATCCTGACCTCGACTTCGACCTCGACATCTCAGACTTCCGTCTCGCAACGCGACCACACGCGTCTCTTGGCCTGCGTCGTTCGTCTGTTCGTACTTCCAGAACTACTCGAGATGATACGTGCAATGCCTACGACTTCTTCGGCCATCCCGAGATAGGCAGGCGACACTGCGCAAACCGAATACGGTGCCAGTCTGGTTCAGTCGACGCCCACAAGTGCTACCAGTGCTGGGCAAACGTGATAACGACCACAACCACCACAGCCCTCGTGCAAATGACATGAACGATTCTCGTCACCAAGAACCTGCGCCGTTGTCCAAGAAATTCAAACCCTACACATCTCGCCAAACTCCCACACATACTGCAAACATGGACATTTCTTGGACCTTGGCGGCCAAGCCTTGTCATCCAGATTACTGGCTTGGATCACTTGGAATACTGCTCTGAAGCTGATAAGGGAGGCCATTGTGGTCTGGTACAAGTAGGTCTTTGTCGTCGTGCCATGAGGTAAGAACAACAGCATTCATTTCGTCCCTTTGTCTTCCTCATTTCATATCATCTCCCATTCGCCTCGGTCATCGCACCGACCATCGCTCAACGACATGATGGAAAAGACAGCTCATGAAGATGTCACTGGCGGCAAGACGTCGCCTGAGCTCTCGCCTCAGCTCAGCAATGACGGCTATGTCACAGACTACGCTGCTCCCAAGGCTTCTCTCATGACCAGACTCGGTCTCACACCAGATTCATTCAAGCGTCGCACTCTTGATGACAAGCACAACCAGCTCAACAAGACTCTCAAGGGTCGCCACTTGAGTATGATTGCCATCGGTGGTTCCATTGGTGCTGGTCTGTTCGTCGGCTCAGGTGGTGCTCTAAGAAGTGGTGGTCCCGCTTCGCTTCTGATCGGTTTCGGTATCATGGGTGTCGTAAGTCCAGCCATCGATCGCATGTCTTGCAGTCCACAAGCGCAACACTGACCTGGCCAACAGATGATCTTCAACGTCGTCTATGCTCTCGGTGAACTCGCCATCATGTACCCTATCTCTGGTGGCTTCTATACCTACTCTGTCCGCTTCATCGATCCTGCCTGGGGTTTCGCCATGGGCTGGAACTATGTCTTCCAATGGGCCATTGTTCTACCACTCGAACTCGTCGTCGCAGGTCTCACTGTCAATTACTGGGGTGCAGATGTCAATGTCGGCGTCTGGATCACAGTCTTCTTCCTTCTCGTCGTCCTGATCAACGTCTTCGGTGTTCTCGGCTATGCGGAAGAAGAGTTCTGGGCCGCCCTGCTCAAGCTCTCGACAGTCTCTATCTTCCTGATCATGGGAGTCATCTTCGTCTGCGGTGGTGGTCCTTCGAACGGCAAATACAGCGAATACGTTGGCGCAAAGAACTGGTATAACCCCGGTGCATTTTCAGACGGCTTCCCTGGTCTCTGCTCAGTCTTTGTCACTGCCGCCTTCTCCTTCTCTGGTACTGAGCTCGTCGGTCTTGCCGCAGCCGAGTCGGCTACTCCTCAGAAGTCTCTGCCTTCTGCCGTCAAGCAAGTCTTCTGGCGCATCACACTCTTCTACATCCTCGGCTTGTTCTTTGTCGGTCTCCTCGTTCCTTACGACGACCCTCGCCTTCTCGGATCTGGTGGCTACCTCGATGTCTCGACCTCTCCCTTCGTCATCACCGCCGTCGACGCTGGCATTCCTGGCTTTGGCGACTTTGTCAACGCCGTCATTCTGGTATCCGTCATCTCCATCGGTCTGTCTGGTGTCTACGGTGGTTCTCGTACATTGACTGCCCTGGCAGAGCAAGGCTACGCTCCCAAGATCTTTACATACATCGACAGAGCTGGCCGTCCTCTCTGGTCTACCGTCTTTGTTCTCGCTTGGGCTCCTCTTGCCTACATCACCTTGGCCAGTACTGGAGTCATCGTGTTCAACTGGCTGCAGTCTCTGTCAGGTCTGGCTGCGCTCTTCACCTGGGGCTCTATTTGTCTCGCACACATCCGCTTCCGTGCCGCATGGAAGTATCAAGGCCACACTCTGGACGAGCTTCCATTCAAGGCCGTCTTTGGCGTCGTTGGCTCATGGATTGGTCTGATCTTGATCATCATCGTCCTCATTGCTCAGGTAGCACAATTCCTCGCTCCATCTTCTGCTCACATGCTAACGAGACATAGTTCTACGTCGCCATCAGACCACTCGACGCTGAAGCTTTCTTCGCCTCATACCTCGCAATCTTCGTCGTCATCGTATTCTACATTGTTGGATGGGTCTGGAAGCGTGAAGGCTGGCACAAGCTTGCAGACATTGACGTCGATTCTGGCCGTCGCGAGATCGACTGGGACCACTTCAACAAGCTGAGAGCTGTGCACGATTCGCATCCCAAGTGGCGCAGATTCTTGAGCCATATCTTCTAGATAGAACGTGCTTGGGGAGCCTAGCCTATCGCTTGAAAAGGATTCAGTGGTAATGCATAGTCGTTAGATGGTGTACATTCACGTTCAATGCAACAGAAATTTGCCTTCTATCTTACAAATCGAAGTCTCAGTCTGCCAGTGGTATCCCATCAAATGCAGCGGAATTGTCAAGTCGCTATGGCAATACAGAAGGCTCATCAACCTCGCTGCCTCGACCATGTCTTGTGTACCTTCTGCAAGGGAACTAGCTTCCAGACATGTCGCGAGATCGTTTGCGGATCACATCTGGTAGGTTCGAGATACTCCGCTCGCACCGCCAGCGGAATCAGAGGCCAAGGCGTTCAAAGAGCCTCCCTTCGCATGCCCAGCTCCTTGACTCCTTCCAGATCAGGCAGGAGGTAACGAGACGACACACGTGCTCCAGGTTTGACTTCGCACTGACATGTGCGGGGTTTTTGGAGATTCGCCCGCCAAGTCTTCGAAACCGTTTGCCAACACTCCGTATCTTCTTCCAAGACTCCCATTCCTGTTCAACTTCCCTGGTTTGCATCTCGGGCTGTGCTCTTGGTATGCACATGCTACAGATAGGTACCACCGGCGGCCAATGAGGCATCACGGATTACCCGCTATGCCGCAACTCCTTATCACCCCCTGTCAACAACCTTTCGCCATACCGCTGGCTCATCTCGCAACGACCGCGGCACAACATATTTCACTACAGAGATGTAGAATCTCCCTATTACACGGACCTATGCTCTATTGGAACTCTGCATGCCGCTGCAGAAGTGCGCATTGGCACCGCCATCAAAGTCTTGTACAGTGTCGCTCAATGCCTGCGAAAGGAAGGTCACATCTTCGACAAGCCAGTAAGTTCGGATTCGTGCTTGCGACTCTGCGTTGCGGCAGAGAAGGCCGCAAGATATCGCTGAATGCTCCACCAAGATACAGATGGTGTCAAGAGGTAGGTCAATGGTATAAGAAGGTAGTGAACCGGTCAAAATAGAGTGTCGCATCAGCCTCATCATCTTTTATATCATCCAGTCTTCTCAATCCCTTTTGGCGACAATGAAGTTATCGCAACTTGCTCTCCTTCTTCTTCCAGTATGGGCTTGCGCCTACACCGAGGCCGACTATGACACTGGTAAAGTGCACCAGATGATCATGGATCGCAAACATGTGAGTTTCAGTCGAAATGTTGTCGTGCCGAACGCTGACCTTTTCCAAAGGCATCATGGGACAAGCACAGAAAATGGGGCGAATACAACAGCAAGAAATGGAAGTCGTTCCTCAAGAATCACAAGGACAAGGATGTCGTCAGGTGCAACAGCAGAGGTCTTGCAGTCGTTGAACCTGGCAATCCTGCAGAGACTTTCAGATGCAAGAACGTGAGTGAAACCGTCGCATTGTCTGTCGCAACATACCTGACAGTTTCAGATCGACTACTACGACTTCAAAAGCCATGCAGACCTTGGTTCCTTCGCCGGAGAAGGCTCATCTTCATGGGGATGGGTGTCTCCAAATGGCCGAGAGTTTGTCGCAATCGGTCAGGCAGACGGTACCGCTTTTGCCGAAATCACGAGAGATGGCAAGCTAGTCTACCTTGGTCGCCTTCCTCAGCAATCCGTCTTCTCGATCTGGAGAGAAATTCGCTCGTACAAAAACTACATGGTCATCGGATCCGAAGCTCGCAATCATGGCATCCAGTTCTTTGACATGAACAAACTGTTGGACATCAACCCAAGATACCCCAAGAACTTCAGCATCACTGCCGATGTGACAGGTCTCTTCACTGACCTCCCCGTTGGTCGCACTCACAATGTTGTCATCAATGAAGAACTCGGCTACGCTGTCTCTGTCGGCGCTCAACCTCGCAACAGCACCTGCCGCGCTGGTCTCATCTTCATCGACATCGACGACATTACGAAGCCAGTGTCACCCGGCTGCGCTGGCCAGGATGGCTATGTCCACGATGCTGAGTGTCTCGTCTACCGCGGTCCCGACAAGCGCTACTATGGACGCGACATTTGCTACGGCTACAACGAAGATACATTGACCATCTACGACGTGACTGACAAGACTGGCGTCAATTCGTCCAAGATCATCTCTCGCACTCCATATGTTGGCGCTGCCTACACTCACCAAGGCGCCGTTCTCAACCGCGACTGGCAGGAATACCTTGTCCTCGACGATGAACTCGACGAAGAAGACCGCACTGGCCCAGCTGCTGAACAGTTCCCTGTCACTTACATCTTTGACATTCGCAATCTGGAGAAACCCGTCAACACCGGCTTTTACAAGTCCAAGCAAAAGGCCATCGACCACAACCAATACGTCTACGATGGCCTTGTCTACCAGTCCAACTACGCAGCCGGTCTTCGCGTCTACGATGTGAGCGGTATTCCTGCCGACCCTACTGGTGGCAATGTAGATGAAGTTGCATACTTTGACATCTATCCCGAGGATGACAACACTGATGGTTTGGTCGATTTTGTCGGTACTTGGAGTCATTATGCCGGGTTCCCTTCTGGTTATATCATGATCAACACAATCGAAAGAGGTGTTTTTATTGTCAAGATGAACAAGTTCGGCAAGAAGGGTCATGGCAAGTGGTGGAACAAGCCCAGGAAGTGATGAGGCATTTTTCCAGACAGTCTTCGATGCGCTTTCGCCAACCCAGAGAAATGAAAAAAAGTTCCCAAAACATCAGCACACAGCCTCTAGTGATGACCGAGCGATCCGAGATGACTGACGATGCGGAGATACAGGAACTGATGAACAAAGTCTGGGGAAGTGGCCACCGATTTGGCTCCCGCCGTTGGCATGTCACTCCAGACCTCCAAGAGGCCCAGACGCCAGTGACATACCAAGCTTCCAAATGATCGCGCACCGTAGGCTGTAAGAGGTAGGCACAACGACATTTTGAATCTCTTTCGCTGATTTCGCGCCCAAACATGTCAGATGTTCTTGCGTTCTGAACGCGACAGAGTTTCAGCGACGACGAAGCTGCAAGAACGAGTGCGTCATCATGAACAACACAACCGTTCATGAAAGCATCTCGGAGATAAAACTCAACGACCTTATTTGTGTCAAGCCTTTAGGCAAGTGCGCCCGTGATCGATTCCTTCTTTCGTTCCTCCACTCATTCTTGACCTCGACCGACTTCTGTTTCGCACTCATGCATCGAACGCCTACATTGATGATCCTCGTATAGCACGACCTCTCGCCTGCCACGCTTCCAGGACAGCGTTCGTCGCAAACAACAAAGAGAGACTTTGCAACTTTGCGATCAACGATTGTGGACTTCGACAACCCAATCACAGCGCTACATTATGCAGACTTTGATTGAGTACCGGCAGCAAAAGAAACAGGCATCGTTGATTCACGGCCGAGACCAGCCGAATTATACAGGGGCGGAACGAGATGACCAGGAAGTTGCGACGAACTCGCCAGACACTGAGGCACCATCACTGTCATCGGAATACAGCCCCGACTGCCAAACTTCAACAAACCCGGGCATCAAGGCGCGCCTGCCACCCCTTGTAGCTTCGCGCAAACAACAATTACCCTCGCCATCCCCGTCGCCGCCGCCATCTGATGAGGATCTGATCAAAGAAAAGAGGCCGGACGATGAATCGAAAGACAAGATCTCTGTCAGCTGCGAAGATAAACAGAACGACCAAGCAGATCCTCACAACTGGTCAAACGGAAAGCGACTGTGGACGACGGCCATCCTCTTCTTACTGGTCTTCTCTCAAGGTTGGGTTTCCGCATGCGACTCGAACATTGCAAAGCCTGCGAGCAAAGAGCTTCATGTCAGCCAGACAACGGAAACACTGGCGACTGCTCTTTTCCTTCTCGGCATCTCTGCTGGCAGTCTGGCTGTTGGTCCGTTGTCAGAAGAGCTCGGTCGCAACCCAGTGTACTTGGTTCCCTCTATGTTTTACTTATGCTTCACACTCGGTGATGCTTTGACTCCCAATTTTGGAGCCCAGATTACGTTCAGATTTCTGGCAGGTGTGTCCGCAAGCCCTGCATTGTCTATCTACGGAGGCAGTCTTGCCGATTTGTACACCACCGAAGAACGAGAGAAGTTGTGGCCATTCTTTGCGTTGAGTCCTTTGCTGTCGCCCATCTTGGCCCCCGTCGCTGCTGCATGGATTGAGGATTATCTGTCGTGGCGCTGGGTGTACTGGATCGGTTTAGCTCTCAGCGGCGCAGTATATCTGCTTGCGTTCCTCTGTCTGCCCGAAACATTCTCGCCCATGATCATCCAATGGAGGACTCATCATCTAAGACAACTCACTGGCAGTGACAAGTACACATGCGATCTGGAAGGACGCGACTCGCTTGGAAAGAGATTGGCGCAGAACCTCAGTCAACCTGCCAAATTCTTCACGACTGAGCCCGTCATCATTACACTCGGTTTCTATCTCATTGTTGTCTATGTCGTCATCTTCACCTTCCTCAATGGCTTCGAATTCATCTTCACCGACACATATGGCCTCTCACCGGGCGAGACAGGTCTTGCGTTCTTGGGCATCTGCATCGGCGCATTGATCTCCACAGCACTTACTCCACTGATTGGCCACTTCTTCAAGAACACCTCAACCACTGAAGAAAAGTCACAAGAACAACCGCCAGAACATCTTCTCATACCTGCCATCATCGCATCACCTTTCTTCGCCATCTCTATCTTCTGGCTCGGCTGGACAAATTACCAATCCATCAGCTACTGGTCTGACTACGCTGCCACAATCCTCTTCGGTTACTCAATGACAGCAATTTTCGTCTCAAGCTATAGCTACATCATCAACATCTACGGTACCTGGAGTTCAAGTGCATTGGGCAGTATCACGATGGCGAGATACTTCGTCGCTTCTGGCATGCTTGTGGCAGCGAGACCGATGTATCAAGGGATCGGAGTACATTGGTCGTTGACGTTTCTTGGATGCTTGGGTCTGCTGTGTCTGCCTGTCCCTTTCTTGATCTATCGATACGGCAAGTGGTTGCGGAAGAAATCGCAGTTCATCGAAGATGAGGAGGAATGACAGCACATGTCTGTTCCACAACATTCAATGAAATGATAATCATGAGACTATCCATAACCTGCTTGCCTCTCTTTTATGTGTTTCCGAAATGCTTTGGTGGTCGTGTCTAGCGAGATCAATCCGCATTTATGGAGATCTTTTGCCCTGGTTAGACACCGAGGAATTGCCAACATGTTCGTCGTGGGAATGCACAAGCTGTGATCTCGTACTCATCTGCTCGTCAGTGTTTCTTAAAGACAATTGCTTACAGCTTTACGCTTTGATAGCCTTAACATATCCAGTCATACATGAAGACGATGATTGATTTGTTGTCTGCACAACGTTGTCGGTCATACCCTGTTCCCATCAACAGTCGTCGCAATTCGTAGTCGCTAAAGCTCGATCTTGAGGTCGCCTCTTTGGACATCAATGTTTTAGGAATCAGGATATCGTGATTGCCTGAACTGAGGAATCAGATCGGATGTGCGTCCTATAAAAGAGCTGTTCAACCCGAGAGAAGATACTGGCAGGAAGAATTATCACATGCGAGTGTTTCGTCAAGCCGAGGCAACTGAAGATCGACATGCCGGCGACAGTCCGCATGCAACGGCCCGATCGGCAGGATTCGGCAACCTCGACGACTTCCAGCTTTCCACAGAGCAGTAGCTCCCCTTGTTGTCATCACGTCACACACGTTGAGCACAAAGTCATCAAGTCTGGGAACCTATCAGATCTTGAGCCAGAGCCAGCGACCAGAGACCACAACCCGACATGTCCGAGCACCCTCTTGTCAATCCGCCATGCGGTCCAATGCAGGGCTTCAGCAAGGGCTCTGTGGTCAAGTACACCGGCATCCCATACGCGACAGCTTCACGCTTCCAGATCCCAGAGCCCATCAAAGACTGGTCCGAAACGTTCCAAGCGACTACTCCTAGTCCAGCATGCCCACAACCCAACGACAAAGGCTCAGCTCTCATCGCAAAAGTGCCACTGCTCCAAGGTCTGAAGATCAGCGAAGAATGCCATCATCTGTCCATTACGGTGCCAGAGAATACTCAAGCAGGCGACAAACTTCCAGTCATGGTTTGGGTGTACGGCGGGTCTTTTGCGACAGGTGCTGGCGACTCACCTGCCTACGACCCGTCGAGAATGGTCGCCGAACATGGGGTCATTGTCGTCAACATCAACTACCGCCTCAATCTGTTTGGGTTTTTGGGAGACGGCCAGACGAGGCCTGCGAATCTTGGACTGCTGGATCAACTGGAAGCTCTGCGCTGGGTGCGGAGGAACATTGCTGCTTTTGGAGGTAACGATGATCCGAAGACCATTACCTTCTTCGGACAGTCAGCTGGTGGAAGCTCAGTCGCCGATATTATGGCTGTGCCTGAAGCGTCTTCGTTGTTCGGTCGTGCCATAGTGCAAAGCGCGCCGTTCGGCATCACCAGAGGTAGAGATGCACTGAACATCACCTTGCTGAAAGCAGCTGGGTCCGCAAGCCCCGAAATGCCCGCTGAAGAACTGGTGAAACTGTGCGAGAAGATTGACAAAGCCGGGTCTGGAAGCTTGCCGATGGGTGGTATGCCTTTCGCACCACAATATGGACATGCGCCTCTTCCCGCCGAAGCAGACTTGAACACCGGACTCGACGAAGTCGCACCACAGATCGACCTGCTTGTCGGCAGTGCTGATGATGAGGCATCGTTGTTTGTGCCTTTTCTGCCTGTTGTTGGCTCAGCAATCGACATTCCTGTTGTAGGCAAATCCATTCACGACCTTGCAGTCTCAAAGGTCACCAAGCTCTTGTATCATCCCTTCGACAAAGACTTTGCAGAACGGCATGCTCGAGCAGGTGGAAAAGCCTCACTGTACCGAATCCATTGGAGAAACAAGAAGAACCGGTTCGGCGCTACACACACAATTGAGTTGCCGTTGTTATTTGGGAATGAGGAAGTCTACGGGGGTGCAAAGACGCTGGAGGGATTTACTGCTCAAGAAGTCGATACGGCCGGGAAGCAGATGCGGAAGATCTGGGCAGACTTTGCAAAAGGAAAGCAAGTTGACATCGCTGATGCTGTTGATGGACTCATCTCCATCGAACGAATTTGATGTGGTTGGTCCCTGACGAACCCAACCACACATGCAAAGAGGTTGGGCGGGTGTTGAACGAGGGTTCGAAGTCTTGGTGTTGAAAGTACCAGGCCGACTTCCGGATTTACTTACCATGGGTTCCTGGCTCTTACGGCTGCATGTTACAACAACGGTGTTAGTAAGCACTGTCCGAACTTGCAAATGTACCCGAGATACAGCGACCATAAGAAGCGATCGGGAAGGTTGTACAACTGCTCCAAGCATAGTAATTACTTTCGTACGTACGAACACAGAAGTATCCTAAAGACAAGGCAACCTACGAGAGTGCCCGAGATGACGTTGAGTTCTGTACGCAGCTGTCTTGAGTCTTGATCATGTTCTGGCCGTTCGCAAACAAAAATAGCGTTAAGGGTTACATGTCGGATGTACGGTAGGGCGTCCGGCACCGTCAAAGCCCGAGTGCGGAGGCCGTTGACAGGCGCCCTACGATAAGGGTATAGGACTTCCTCAACTAGGAGACGTGCGTTTTTTGTTCGGTACCTTGGCACCAGGGTCTTACGGCCTTGTCTAAATGCATAGTTGAGGTAGGGGACCCGGGACTCGCGGATCACGTTTAGGGTATCGATCACCACGAGTGACATTTCGGGGTGGCTTAGAGCCGAGTCGGTGCGCAATGGAAGCCATTCGAGCTTCTCTGTTTTTGCAACTGTCGGTACTAGAGCGCAGGATCAGCAACGCCTTTTGGCCATTTTACAGGATACCAATGGTATGGAAAGATGAGACTAATATGTTGGACCTTGGTCAAAGATCCCTACTCTTCGGATGAAGTAAGCCGACAGATCTCTAGTCCTGTCTGCATGGCTGACAAGAGATACAAATTGAACATGAAGATAGTATCTCAGGCAGGGAACATCAGACTGTACGTCGCAGAACACAGTTTCAGAGCCTGATCTCAACCAATCAACCTTTACGGCCGAGAATGACAGATACGCACCCAAGTTGAGCATGCATGCATGATGTTCAAGAATGATTCGGCCGTATCGCTGAGTGTCAAGTATTTTGGGGGTCAAACTCGTTTACCAAGCTACAGACCTGAATTCGCAGACGCGAAAAGACTCTTGTCTATCACATGCGTCTTGAGAAAGCGAGAGGAAGTGAACAGAATTGAGTGATCCATTAACCACTGTCTAAAGAGTGATGGTCTTGATACATCTATGGAAAGAAAGAGCGACAGCAATCTAGTTGAACATGTCTGTCATTGCGGTTGAAGTCTTAGGTCATCGACATATGTGTCTGCAAGAATACCACGAGATCGCCATCGCCTTCTACAGCTGAGTCGCAAAAGATGTTGGTCTCGAGTCCACCGTCTGTAAAAACCGCGATTGCACAGCGGGCAGATGGACAAGTGTGCTTGACGAGACCGTTCTCTTTGATGTCGTCGCAGGTTGCTTGCCGATGAGAACACACGACCTCCGCAGCAACGCTCGAAACATACATGCTGGAAGGATGAGTCCAGCGTTGCGAAAGAGTATCGACGTTGCGATGGTCGTTGACTCGGTCGTGGCAAGTTGTTTGAATCGTCCCGGCAGAAAGACGCCGGGTTTCCGATGTCGCTGTGATATCCTGGGCTGCTTGGATGATTGTCCATGAGAGAGACGTCTTGCGTCATGTCTGCAACAAGAGGACCTCTTGTATCTTGTAGGTGTGTAGATGGTTGACTTATACGACCGAAAGGCTGCAGAGCGGTGAGAGCTTGTAAGTTGTAGTCCGTAGTTGGGTATGGCCAGTTTTCTACCTGTTGTAGATCTGCGAAAGGGGTGATGCTTCCATTGAAGTGACATTGTGCCGGTAGCTGCCCAGCTGCCGTTTGAGTTCAGTTGTGCTTGCCTCGAAGCAACGCGGAAGTTGTACTCACGATCCATGCTCTGATTGCACAGGCTCATATTGATATCGTTGCAATAGGTGAGAGGCAGCGTCGGACTTCCTGAAGCACCTAGCAGCCAGAGCCAATGTTGTGCTTGATCCTGGTTCATCGTTTCGAATGGATCCCCCAGGTTGACTGAGTGGCGTGACTGATAGCGAATGTGTCTCAAGGCTGAAGGATCAGTGAATATATATCGCCATACCTGTATCTTGCCAATGTCTCTTCAAGCAAAACTTTGTCAGTAGTCCGAAAGCAAAAGACTGTTGATCAATCCAATCCCGTCGCGTCACACCAAGTTCTGCACCTGGACCGAGTGTGCACAGAGTTGAGCATCACCCTTTGTCACAATGCGCGGCACCTGCTCGATTCTCCGAGACCAGTTTGTTTCTTGTATGGAGACCTCAACGAGCCGATGATCGGATCAATTTACGACTGAGCGCAGGAACCACCGGAAACGGTACCGACTTGGCGCTCAGCATCAGCCTTACCAGTACGCCATCAACGGCTTCTGTACATGTATTCAGTGGCGCCGTATGGCCCGGGGAAATATGGAGGTCCAGGACTTGATATTTGCCGATGGGATCCTGGTTCTGTGGTAGACCGTTGATCCGCAAAACTGCCACGCGACCATAGTCTCGGCTTCGGCTCCGGCGGGAATTTATGGCCGGTGAGGTCAACAGTATTTCTCTGTTGTGATTCAGACCCTTCATGCCCACATAGAATTCACGGGTGAGAGTTTGATACGCTCACTTGGACCAGAAAAATCACCATTTGGTAAAAAGGACTTCAAACTCAATCACGTCCATCATTCCTGACGAAGACCTGCAGCTAACATCGCCTGTTAGTCATTGTTGATATTCGCATACAGGCATTCTCAGTTACCCTCACGCAGTAGAGTTCAATGAAACAGAGAGAAAAGTCGTGCTAAGATCGCACAAGCAACGCATTGGACAATCACAGTGTTTTGCTGCATGCTGGTCCGATGCCCACGAGACCGATGTATGAACACTGACAGTCTCAACATCTGTTCTATATCTGGATTCAAGATTCGTGTTATGGTTGACGTTGACAGAAACTTTCTTCTTAGCGTGAGCCACGGGAAACCACCTTGTCAGATGGAGGCAATTCGTGGCGACTGACCAATTCCGATGCACTATCCAAAGACTTTCGAAGTGTCACATTGTTGACTTATAGTTCAGATAGTTCAGTTATGATCAATGGTTTGCGACTTCGCTACATTCTGCAAGAACCACTTGCTCCACTGAGCCTTCTTCATCCGTTTACATCCTGCAGCAAGATACGCACCGATCTATACAAGATTTACGACCACAACCGCAGCTGACAGCATCATGAGGACGGTGAAAGAGACTGTCTGGGAAGTTGCTCCGCCTGTATAGATTGCCATGCTCGATGTCGCAGCTGTGGTGTTGGAAACTGACAGGGAAGGCATGGAGAACCTAGTATGGACAGAGCTTGTAGCGAAAGCAGAAGAAATGGACGATCCTGCATGATCGCTGACACCGTAAAGTGTTTGAGACGCAGTGACAAAGTTGCTCTTATTCTCACCGCCTGCAGCAGTGACCGAAATGCCCGCTTCTGGTTCTGAGGTAGATCGTGGCGGCGATTGATTCGATTGAAGGTTTGTCGTAAGAGGAGCGATGTTGCCAGTGTTTTGCGAAGCCTCGCTGATGAACGATTTAGTCGACTGACCGGAGTCGGAAGTTCCGAGATTGATAGACGGGATGTCAGCCCCAGTGCTGCTATGCGCCTGTACGAAGCCGGACTGAATGAAGGCTGAGATTGACGCAACAGGACAAGTGATGAGCTGTGTTTGGGTATCAACAGATGCGATGGCGGTGGTAAAGCCGACTGGCACTCCGGTTGGCGACCCGAGATGGCAAGGGCATGTTTCCGTGATCGTGTAAGTCACAGGGACGAAGCCAGTTTCAACAGGCTGAGAACATACGGTGGGGTATGTGCTCACAACTGGAACGATGCTCTGTGAGGAATAGAAGGTGTGTGGCGCGTTTTCAGAGGCCGGGCAGCTTGACACAGTCATCACTGGCAGGACGGTCGTGCTTGTGCTGTTGGACATCCACTGAGCAGAGACGATACGAACTGCCAGGGCTGCTGGAACGAGAGGAATGTAGAGTAGCTTCATGATTTGAGTGAGCTGATCAGGATTTGACATGGGAAACACTGCAGGTCATTGCTGTATATATGCGAGTTTCCTGAAGCCCGCACTCTGAAGAGCAACTCCAGGTTCGTCGCTCAGCATTGCACTTTTTTTCTATCCGGGATTACACTCTGACCACGCCGTTTGAACTGGGAGTATACCCTGGGCATTGAACAAATAAGCTTCATGCCACTTTGATCCATCCATAAACAGACAGGAAACTTTTTGCAGGTATCAGAATCCACGCCGAGGTCTCTTGCGAAGATGCTTAATATCTTTCGGTAGGTCAGACATGTCTTGTCGTACCGTCGTGTTCTATGAACTGGCTGTTGTATGTGTCCTAGAATCATTGGATAGACCGGGGTTATGGGACATCACAGAGCCTCATGTTCCCAATGTCTTGCATGTTTCCCTTATATCGTTCCCAAAGTTGAAGCTTCCGCCCGCCTATATTGGACATCAAAGCGCTTGAGAGACAGCCACGACGATAGTGGCGCTCGCTGGAGGACTTCTTCCCAGACTTGTGGTCTAGATACGGTATGCGATCGCTGCTAACTTCCGAATCAAGCTGTTATCATACTTTGTGGGTAGTCGCCCATTCTATATCCTCCACATCACCCCGGCTTCCAGTCATCCGAATCCGTCAGACACTATCGTCTCGATTAGCTTTACACAGTCTGGGAATCGTATTCCCTCCAAAGGAACGTTGCCTAGCTATATTATGCTTCGTCGTGGCCTCAGCTACGATGGCGCACCGGATCACTCGATAATGTCAGGTCACACTACCTTGAGCGGAGAAGAAATGAACCCCCAAAACCTATATGAAACGTAGCTCCCTGGCCCTGTGTGACCATCCAACCACATATCTGCTACCACTCATCTCCTCCGCCATGATGAGCACAATGCACTCTATCATCCTCAGTTGGATGCTCCTCGTTCTAGGCATCTGTACGTCAGCTCAACGCACGATCATTGAGCTTCAGCCGATCGAAGTCGTTTGCAGCGGCTCTGTCATTTCGACTATCACTCAGTGAGTCCTGCTATCACGACACACCACTGTTAAATGCTCACAGTCACATAGAAGCCGTACAAAGACATCTGACTTCCCGTATTCCCAAGGTTCTGCGACAAGTTCTGCTTCCTCAAATGTAGTCAGCAGTCATTCCTCCGGGGGCAGTCTCATTGAAGGCTTTTCCACATCTCGCACCACTTTCGAAACACCATCAGCGTCTAGTGTATCTTTCCCTCAAGGAAATGCATCGTCCACATTGACGCGCGCGCTCTCCACACCTGGCTTATATACGTCGATAATAACCACTGATGTGCCATCTGTCTTTACTTCAACCGGCCAGCCAGCCTTCCCAGGGGGGAGCACGCCTGTGTACATTTTAACGCCACCAAACCGTTATATCACTTCCTTCATCATCACAGACATCCCTAGGGTATCTACCTCAACGGGTGTGCCACTTTCACCAGGGGGCAGTACACCTGTTGTGATCTTCACGCCTCCACCTGGTCGCTTCACATCCGTCATCACTACGGATATTCCTTCAGCATTTACCTCAACTGGCGTGCCAAGTTCTTCAGGTGGAAGTACGCCTGTTTATGTTTTTACACCCGCGAGCTACAGTACGACTACCATTACCACAGATGTCACTGCCGAAACTACTTTGACAGGCACGGCAATGACCTCTGGTGGCACTGTTCCAATCACAGTCTTAGACCCTCCATCCACCACTTTCTTCTCTACGACGACCGTGCCTGGAACCGATTCATTTCCTTATACCAGCACAGGAAAGCCATCGGTCCCAGGAGGAACCGTTCCAGTGAGCGTATTTACGCCGCCCTCTGATTCCACAACGACGATCACTTCGGACATTCCTTCCAGAGCGACATCCACCGGAAAACCTTCTGTGCCTGGAGGGACAACTCCAGTGACGGTTTTCGAATCTCCAGCTACGACCGCATACTCGACAACATCAGTTCCTGGAACAAATGATACACCATACACGGTGACTGGACCACCCATCTTTTCCGGAGGGACTGTCCCAGTCACAGTCTACACACCGATCTTCTCAACTCGGACTTCGACACCATCATTCTCCAATACTACCTCAAGCATTTCTAGCAGCAGCTCAAACGTTCGCAGCTCCTCGACTTCAACTCAAGAATTGACAAGTCCTACCACTTTCGTAGTATCGAGTTCTTTATTGAGCAGCTCAGCAACATCTACCTCGGAGACAGAGTCAACCAGCTCGCGTCCATCTACTTCCTCGGAACCCCAGACAAGCTCGGGATTTCTGACATCCCTCAGCTCGATCGCGAGCAGCCCCTCGTCTTCGAGTTCTGAAATTCCTACCAGTCAAGATTCTGAGCCGAGCGGCAGTCCGACTTTATCGAGCTCGATGCCAACGAGCAGTTCTGCCTTTTCTTCATCTCCATCTTCTTCCCTGCGGCCCACCTCGAGCAGCTCAAACTACACCATGTCCAGTAGCTCGATGCTGTCGACCGTCCCGAATCCTCAAACCACGAGCTCAGTTCCACAAACAACATCTAGCTCTGTTCCGAGTAGTTCTTCATCGTCGACCTCGCAAGCTCTTACGATATCAAGCTCTGTGTCAAGCAGTGCTTTGATGTCCTCGAGCTCCATGCCAGCCAACAGCTCTACCCTCTCTTCTGCAATGTCTTCTACCTCACAATCTGCAACGAGTAGCTCGAGTCTGGTGTCCGAGAGCGGCTCTTCTTTTTCTTCTTCAACCTCGACAGCATCAACCAGCGTATCGATCAGTACATGTGCCGTCCCAACCGCAACTCAAACAGTCCGAGCATCTGGTACGGCAGGCGCCTCTTCCACCGTCGCTGTTCCGGCCTGCGCAACAGCTGCTCGCTTTACGGTGATCGGTGGTGCAGGTGGTGCGTCAGCCTCTTCAGCTGCAGGTTATGGACGCTTGATCAGCGGTGTGGTCCCCGTGACTCCTGGTCAGATCATCCGTGCCATTGCAGGTGGAAGTGGAAGTATAGGCACACAAGGACTGTCTGCCTATGGAAATGGTGGCCGAGGTGGTGCGAACTCTGGTGGTGGAGGAGCCGCATCCGCACTCTACATCGCATCCGATCTGATTATCGTCGCTGGTGGAGGTGGGGGTCAAGGTGGTGCTATCAGCTCGAGTGGCCAAAACGCCGCAGGAGATTATAGATACCCAGGTGATGCCAACGACGGAACAGCCGGTACGGTTGGCAAAACTCGCACGCAGACCAACGCAAACGGTGGTGTGCTTTCAACTGCCGGCGGAGGTCAGCCTGGAACAAACTCTGCTGCAGGCGCAGGAGGTACAGCTTCTGGCTACAGCGATGCTGCCGTCAGTGGCAAGTCTGGCAATGGCCATGTCGGCGGAGACTATGCAGTCACTTCGAACACCGACTTGACGTATACCTCTGGCGCAGGTGGTGGTGGCTACTTCGGCGGTGGCAGCGGCGCGAGTTCTTACTGGCTAGCATCAGGAGTTAGGTCAGCCATTTCTGGAGGAGGTGCTGGTGGATCAAGCTTTGTGTCTGGGAATGTCACCAACTCGACCCAATTTCCTTCCGGATTCAATGTCGGACAGGTTCTCATAAGCTTCATATAGCGGGCTTTGGCACAACAGATATATATGCTGGTGGATTTCGGTCATGAAGGAAGTGGTAGGACCCGATGTCCAAAATTGGAGCAGATTTAGAGCTTTGATGCATGAGGCAGAGTCAATCATATTCTGGGCTAATCATCTCTCTTTGCGTCTGTCCTATTGTCTGCTTTGGCTGCGGCCTTGTTCGTGACTTTTCCTTGGGTCGCCCTTGTGTCTTGTTCGTAGATAATAAATTTATAATCACAGTCGTGCTCTCTCTTCCGCATACATATCTGGGATCTCGCCAAAGACCTCTATGATTTTCTGCGTTATGATGAATCGAATCTTGAGACGTCATTATGTAGATGAGAACAGCGAACTTGGGGGAGTTACAAGCGCCCGAGTCGTACATACCGGAAGCAAAGATGCATGCTGCAATGTGAGCCTAAATCTGCGTGTTACAGCGCAGTCTGGCTGCGATACATCCACTTAAGATATTGCGATCGAATTTCCTGCAGATCCTCTTGATAGCGAACGCTCTGCAGCATTTGCCCAACATGGCGGTCTGCACTAGGAATCATATAAGTCCTCCGAATCAGTTAATTAACATTTGAGGATCACCTCGATGGTATCTGCTCTTGTTCTTGTAAGCAAACGAGATAAGGAATGGTTGTAGAGCCTTTGTCATTCTCAGAGTGGGCTGCCCAGAAAGCTTTTCTCGTTCCCCAAAGCACGAGCCCTCTAGTCTTTCCCCTGCTTATATTCGAACTTCGATACGTAGTCACTAACGAGCTCCTTGATTGAGCCCGCGATTTCCGGACGTCTCTCATACTCACTTTCTGTCGATGCCTCGATAAGAATGTGCCCTGCGATCATCGCTGGATTGAGCTTTTGACCGTTCGCAGTCAGCTCGGTCAGATCTCGTGGCGTTCCTGCTCAATGTAACGGCTAAAACGGTATAGATCTTCAAGCATGGACGTCTTTTCACGGGAATGTAGCTTTGTCGCGGGTATGCGGAGCTACCTCCGCAAAGACATACCACCTTCCAGAAGCAGAAGGAAAAGTAGGGCTTCTGTGTCCGCGATCGTTGAGAAACTTCAGCTGCGATTAAAGACCACATCTCTCAACGGTGAAAATTACTATGAGCTCTGGGCAAACCTCAGCTCTGGGAATCGTGTCCTCCGCAATTCTTTGTATCGGATCTGCCTAAGCTCGTTGAGGAAGTTCAATCTTCTTCTTGTTGCTAGTATACGAGTGTGTCAACTACTGGAAGAAAGTGATTGAAATCGGAATGTCAAAAATCTTGCATCACATTATTCACTGTCCTATATGCGTAGTAGAGACACCTTCTCGATCAAAACTTCCTTGCTTCACTAGGACAATATCACTTCCGTCATAGCCTTAGCATCATGTGCCTCGATGTCACGCCGTAGGATATGCGAGGAACTGCGACCACGTCATGAGCCTCGTGTCGTTTGGCATAGAATATACTGATTCGCCGTCCGAATGGTGGTGTGACAAGGACTGTAGCGTGTCGAGGTGATTGCCCGGCGTATAGAGCGGTGGAGCAAAGGAAAGTATCCCAATGTCTGGAGGTGGCTGTAACGTTACGGAAAGTTAATGCGGCGCTTGACGAGCATGGCAGATGGGATTTGAAACTGATGGTTGCTTGGAAGTGGCAATCATGGTGCGATTCCGCCTGGTCTCCATGATCTGGTCTGCGTGATCAGGTCCAGGCAAAAGCAGAGATGCAGGTAGCTGTGTCGAAAGTATTACGGGCGATAGGTCGATGTATGGTACAACAAACTGATGCGATTGGTATAGCTGCGTTGGATCCTGATCAAGAGATATTGCAGCATCGCAAGGTTGTGCCACTGTCGTTGTAGCGACATAAGGCGTCTGACAATCTTTCAAAGCCGTGGACTGGCCCATCCAATAATCCGATCCAGGTCTCCGGGCTTGAGATCGTCGTTGTCGCTTGGAACGCGTGTTGTACCACCAGTTCTTGATTTTGCTTGCGCTTCGATTTCGGAGATGGGTTGAGATATGAGCCTAACAGGTGCCGTGTTGTGCGACTAGGCTTTCGACCATATTACACTCGTGCTCAGTCAACGCGCTGTGATCGAGCCCCCCTTTCAAATGCTGGGTGTATCGCTCGGTGCACTGCTTTGGCGTTCTTGTCTGTACGAGATGAGAGACTCTTCCCCAATTGCTAAGTCCATTCTCGGCCACAATCTGTAGAAGGAGCTTGTCTTCTTCGGGGTCCCATGGACCTTTGCGGATCCAAGGCATGTCGGCGAATTATAACGATGATGTGAGTATGGATGTAGAGCTGAGTCCAGTCTGGTGTATAGCAATGTCACGGTGTGGCTGCGTGAATCTTAACGAATGTGAAGGGCTCTTATAACAGTTGTGGCATGCTCGTATCTGTAAGCTTCAATCTTCCGTTGACATCCAGGACGACAGCAGTGCAGATAAATACAAGGTTCATAATCTGGCATCCACTCTGTCGAAGCTTCAACGAAGTTCGACTCTTGGCTGTCTGACATTGAAATGACATGTTCGCAACTTCAGATACTAAAGCGTCTATGTCGGCAATCTTTCGTCTGGTTTCTCTCGTGAATCGAATGGGTCTCAAGTCCGGCTCAAATCTGAATATGATCGTGTCTTTGGCTTTACAAGGCTCAACTTGGCCGTTTCACTTGTGCTGCTTTATGGCGCAACATCGGAAAATGTATCTAGTTCGCTTCAAGACTACGCTGATCAACAAAAACGCTCTGGATTTGCGTCGATATCATCCCATCTGCTCTACTGCCTGAATTCAGAATAACGATGAGCCAATGGTAGTCTAGTGACTTCCAAAATAGTGTTTATAATGTCTTTACGGCTCACTCTCCTGTTAATTCTACTGCATGCTTAATCGCAATGGAAATCCTAAGGTTCCCCGCTCAGAATGGTTTCTTGAACCTGTGCGGTAAGGTGTCTCCTAGTACAAGCATACTATTAGCAGAAGTGGGCGTCTGCGACAGTTTGTGCTTCTAATACTCATCTGCGAGCAGTAAGCTAAATCTGGCTGAACGAGGTTAGCATGTCTGCATCCGACATCACCCGACAAGCATCCTTTCCGGGAGAAGCGAGGGTTAAACTTTGCATGCTACAACCAAATCTGGACGTGAAGTAGGGCATGTTTCTTAACAAGGAATGGTCCTATCTGCCATGGGGTTTCCTGGGGCACGTTTTCCAGAGGTTCAACGAACGTTTTCCATGCCTCAGATTGCGACCATAACAAGCGAACAGTTGCTTTTTGGTGAGAGAGTTGAACCACGACTCGCGGGAGATCGCGTGCCCATGTCCTCCTTCCATCTCAATCTGTCGGCATAATACTGTTACTCACTAGTTGCGACAGGGACACAGCTGTATTATGGTATCTGAATTTCTACATATCTAAGTGCTCTCCGAATGACTTTGTTCAGTTTCTTGTTCAAGCACTACTATAATAATCAATAAGAGAAGGCCGCAGTGCTCATTAAGCTGAACTATCTCCCACCCATATCTCGCTGTCTAAGTCCTCCACCACAAGGCACTTAAGAACGCGTCCATGCCGAACGTACTGTAGCCCTTAGACATCGTAGTTGTACCTCGGCTAAGGCTTCAGGCTGTGCCATACCATCATTGACGCTCTTCTGCCATTCGAGAACCCTCTTCTGCTGCTCCACGGGCGAGACAAAACTGTGATGATGGTGTATCCGAAGTATTTCTTGCTGATACTCGGCGATCCATTGTCGATATTGATCTAGAGGGTGCGGTTTTGGTGATGGAAGCCTAGTGTCGGTTTTTGTAGAAGATTCTTCTTGGTGCTGTGGCGTTTGGCGTTGAAAGTGATGTTTTGGAGGAGATATCGGCGACGGCAGTCCAATGTTTGGGTTCTGAGACGTCCGAGCAGGTTCAAGCGTCTTTGTTGCGACGTCGAGGGTGTACTCGGTGGCAAGAGGTGAGTAGACTCCAGGACTGTCGGCCTGCTGCGAGGATATGCGTAGAGATATTGGGCTCATCGTTGTTGTGGGGATGACAAAAGTATCTGAAGGCTGCAGACTTGCTTCCGCGACAGCAGGAGATGGTTCACGATTGAATGCAAAAGCATGTAATCTCCGCACCGCCTTCAATTCCCCCTCCTCACGCTTCAACTTCCTCTTCTGCCTCTGCTGAAGATTATACCACCAATTTTTGATCTTCCTCTCACTTCTGTGGGGAAGATGTTGAGCTATCAATGCCCAGGAAGTCCCATATTGAGCCACCAGGTTTTGAATGGCCCAGCATTCGTATCTCGTGAAGGCGCTGTGGTCGAGATCTTGTCGCAGGTGTTGGGTCCATCGCTCAGAGCATTGTTTCGGGCTCCGGGTTTGCATCAGATCGGAGATTCTGTTCCAATCGCAAGGAGCGTGTGTTGCTAATAGTTTGAGCATCAGGTCGTCCTCTTGTGGCGTCCAGTTCCCTCTTCGATATGCGTTCATGGTGGTCGTTGGCTCAGGAGATTGAGGATGTGAGAGCTGCGTTTGGAAAATTTGGGAAATCATTGTCGAGGGAGAGAAAAATTGTGCGTTGCAGGGGGATTGGTGTCCTGGGTGACCATCTGTCTTGTGGTGCTGCCGCTATTTGGAAAGTCCCACGGTTCCATACTTCGACAGATGAAAAGTAAAACGTCTGGAAAGATTAGTTCAAGCAACGACCTACTTTCCGTTGAGCGATGTACAAGCTATAGCAAGTAATGACCGACGAGACTACTACATTGGTTGTTCCAGAGCGGTATGTTGGTGGATTGAATCTCCATGCGTTCCTCGGGAGGCATGAGTAAGACCACATCATGACGCTCGCATCGGCCCAACAGTCTGGTTCGAGAACCAATTGCTGATCGTTGGAGTTCGGCTATATAGTTTGCCAGTGCTTGTCTTGCTTGTCAAAAGCTTGTTCATACCTCTTGTCCTTGGCCATCTCAGCTCTTGATAGCGAGCGAGATGTCTTGTGACAAAGTAGACAAAGTCAAGATATGTTTAGTCAAGAGAGGTGAACCTGGTCGCTTGTAAAAATCTGGTCGTAGATTGATACCCATGTCTACTGAGACGCGACATGTTTCTTCGCAATTTTTCTACAGTACTACTCTTCGGACAAAGACTTGCCTTGTTCAACAGCGAATGCGAAACCGTTGGAAGAAACTTCGGCGTCGAATGTTGATCGCAAAGTCTAAACGGTGAGACTGGAAAACGTCTGTAGATTCCGTCAACCGCGACAACGTTTGTAGGTGGCTAGCTCAAGCGCCATAGCATGACACGTTCCGGCTCCCGGACTCTTGCTGTACCGAGACTTTGTTCGGACGCGGAGATGGTGGTTCCTCTTCCGAATGTAGCCTCTGCCGCGTGGAGTTCCGAGTTGTCAATCAGCGTTGTTGTAGCCTGCATAGTCGTAGAAGATGTTCCTTGCCTCTCATGCAGTGATATCCCGATTACAAGACTATGCACATCTGCCGTGACCCTGTCGAAGATATCACCAACACATCATTAGATCTACCGCATCTACAGCACATACACGCGTTCTTCGCGGAAATCTTATTGCCGGAATAGAACAGTGCACCAGTAATTGCCGGCGTTGGCTCCGCATACGCCGGGCCGTTGAACCACGCCTTTCTCCACGCCCTAGACCCTATCGCGGGATGTCCACCTGAAGTACGTAGACAGCGTGGCGCACGTACAATAGTTCTACGCAATCAAAGTGGAGGAATGAGACAAATTCTGTGACGGATCTTTGCACAAGTGATGTAAAACCTATCGAAAGGAAACCAAAGGATGTGCAAAAGAAAAAGGTGTTGGTCTTGGCTATGTACGTGAAGGGGTTCTTGCGGTTCCACTCCAACGCAATGGCAATGATGCGAGAAGAAACGCATTTGAAAGCGCCCAACTGACCAACAAGAGTCTGTCAAATGTATAATGCAAAACCTGGGAAAGGAGGGCAGAAAGGTCCAATGGTTACCACGCGAAGAATGCCGGAGAAAGAAATCAGCCAACGGAAACCACTGTATGTAATCGAGAAGCAACTGTATAGCTGAGCCGGTGACCGAAGAAGGCAAGGGTTTGAGAAAAGGCTCTTGCGCGATGGTTGTGTAATTCTGCGTTAATTTGTGCTGAAATACTGCTCTTCCGAGCATAGAGCTGTAGGATACGGACGGCGCGCTGATGAGAAGAACAGGCCAGTATCGATGGCGTTGTGCTGTGAGCTACGCGGGAGTCGTTGTGAGCGAGTGTGACACAAGGTGCTGGCGAACTTGGAGAAGCCGAACCGAGTGACTAGGGCGCCGACGGTAGACAAAGACGGAAGGTTCGAGGTGGAAAGGCGATCAGTTGGAGTGTTGCTGGCTGTTCTGGACACCAAAAAAACGTTTTTTTGCTAACGGGAGCGGGTAGGCTTGCTCTCGGGGGAGCAAAAAGTTTCGTATTCGATCTAATAGGGCTTCGTGGTGATGGTCAGGTACGAATCGAGATGATAGGTTGTCAAGGTTGATGGGCATAAAGGTAGCAGCCGCTTGTGATTGAGATAGACGCATACTCCCCAAGACTCAGACGTCGAGATGAAGGCAGAATGGAAGATGCTCGAACGTAGCGAGAGCGATGTCAAGCTTATCTTGTATCAAACTGTGCAGATAGTCGAGATATTGCTGACGGCATGCGTTGGTCGGGAAAAAGGTGAAAGACTGATCGTCAACCCAGTCTTCCCCATGAAGCTCAGCCACCTCATCCACGAAATCACAAGGGACGTGGATGTCGAAGACATCGAGATGGGGCATTGCCTCTACAAATTCGGCGACCTCTTCCACTGCGGCAGTGCAGCTGAGACCGTAGGATCCGGAGCCAGATGCGACCTCGAAGCGCTTGAGGTGACTCAGGACCTTGAGATGAAGGAGATCTCTCCCAGTGAGACAACAATTCGCGAGGGTGATTTTGCCACACTCGAGAGCGCGCATCCTGGGTAATTGTTCATAGATGTTGCTGTTCTTACGAGCATCCCAATCGCTGATGTGAACCTCAGTGCTCTTGAGGATAGGCACAAGTCGGTCGATGAGAAGGTGCTCGTGGCCGGCACCGAGCTTGACGGACTTGAGGTGAGTTGCACTCTCCAAGAAGCGTTCGAACTCCCCTGATCTGATGCGCGAATTTGCTCCGATGGTGATTGAGGTCAAACGCTTGCAATTGCTGCTCATAATGCGGAACCAGGAGACACCAGGTGACTGAGCCTCGTCGGGATTGTTGTTTTCATATGCAACACCATCGCCAATGTCTAGACGCTTGAGGGTGGGCACGAAGATAGAGACCAGGATATTAGCGTTTCTTCTGCTCAGAGAAGATGGCTCACAAGTGAGATGAGTCAGACCGGGCAGAGGTGGTACTTTTCTGTTTGAGGTCGGGTATCTCCACCCCCAGGCATCGTCTCTGTACATGGATGTGGTGAATCTCAGGTGGCGCACCAAAGCAGCATGGACGTTGATGCGGGAGTCGACAAGGGAAGAGGCGAGCAATCCTCCGTCGCACGTGGGGGTGTGCCACAGGTATCGCACCGCTTGCTTGTACCATGAATGGCAGACCTGCGCGACGCTGTATAATTCTCTGTCGTTCAGGTGTGAGCACACCATCGACGTGAGTTCGGTGATACCGCCGATTTTCTCAAGAAGGGGGCTTGGAACCAGAGCGATTACATCATCCACATCATCAGGCTGATGCCACAGGAGATGATGAACCTCATTCTGGTTCATGCACGAGCGTCCTTGTTGGCATCCAACGTTGCGCTGTTTCTCCATGGCCTTCATGCACTCGATCATTGCGTTGGCACGCAAGATTTTTGGCATCTTGGTAGGAGAGTGCATTGGAAAGAAAAGGGGGAGATATTGAGGAATCGACGCGCTGTGTTGGGGTTGGACAAACGTCGATGCGCGAGGCGATAGATAGAAAAGGAGTTGATGATGGAAGGAGCAGAGGGAAAAGATTGCGCAAGAAAGGGATGGTTTGTTGCGATGCAAAGATGAGATGAGTTGTTCGGATGCCAAGACATACCCGACGAGTCCAATACTCCGACTCACCAAATTTCACATGGCAACTACACTACTCTTCACAGCTTCTCCGCGTCGAAGCACAGACCGCTCGCTACCTCGTTGTTTTCGAGAGACTTGTGTCTTCATCCAGTAACGGTATGAGATGCTCTACGTCCGTCAGTTTGGCCCACAAACAATCTGCATGTCTTGTCGACAAACTCATCCTGATTTCCCCCGGTTCCTCTTGCACCTGCATCTCCGATTATTTCAGTCAAGTTCTTGTCCACCTTTCCATACAACATTCAGTAATATCTCTGTCAGTCGTCCGCTGGCTCATCATGACTGTTCGAGCAGCCGGGCTTTCTAGCAATCTGGGAAGCAACCTTAATCTCCTTCGCTCTGGTCTCGAACTCCGCGATCTTTTCAAGATACTCGAGATAGGTTTCGCGAGTTTCTGTGCAATCGAATTGCGGGTACATTCCCGGTATGTCATATGTGTCCTTGACAGCCCTCTCGTGATCGAAGAAGTAAAAGTAAAGCCAGAGGCGGAAGTCTCTCAGCGCTGGCATTTCTTTGATGAACGAGATCAACTCGACAGCAGTCACCTCGCAATCAGTCCTTCCAGGACCCCCGGCAGACCACATGTGGAGATGCTTGAGGCGTTTCAGTCCTTCGAGTTTCATGAACTCCTCGCTCGTGACTGGCCAGCTGTCGACAGTGATGTCCAGGTATTCCAGACCATGCATCCCGGACAGCTTATCCCAAGCGCGCCACTCTGTGATCCATAGGTGCCCGACCTTCAAGCTTTTCAAGGTGGAACTGATGTGATCGATAATGAGATGCTCGTTCCCGCGCTCGAATTTGATGGTGTGTAGGTAAGTCATGCGACAGACGAAGTAGTGAAATTGTTCCTGACTGATTTGGAGATCTTCTCCAAGACTGATTGATTCCAGAAGCGGGCATCCTTCCGTCATGATGTCGAACCATGAACCATTATCAGGTCTTGCGTCGTTGACCATGACGTGTTTCAGCGTTGGCTGGAAAATGGCCTGCAGTTGTGTTTTGCATTTGTTGCGCAGGGACAAGTAGTCAAACTCAACGCTGCGAAGATTGGGGAGATTGGGGATGGCTCTGCTCTTCCTCAACCGGACGTAGCCTTTGCTTTGGTTGTCGTTATCCGTGTCGAGCGTATACCGAAGGTGGCGTATGAATCCTGCGTAGAAGTCCACTCTGTCAGGTTCAGGCCCCTTGAAGCCTTTCTTCGGCATGCCCTTGAAGCGCAATGCATCCGCAGCCGGACTGTGCCAGCGGTGACGGACAGCTTCGTGGAACCAGGCTTTGTTGACTCGTATCAAATCACGTAACGTCCTAGCATCGGCTTGAGCGATGATGTTCATCCAGATCTCGGGCAGGTTGCCGGCATATTCGAGAAGGGGCGATGGCGTCAAGGTGCAAGGAGGAACATCGATATGCGACCTTGTTCTCAGTATCAGGATTCATCGGAAACACTACTTCAAGCGGCCACAACTCACTTTTCACCAGTTTTGTGTGTCTTTTCCTCTTTCTGTTCCTGTGGATCAAGGTGGAGATCTTCCAGCGATTGCTCCAAGGAAGTTGTTTCAGTCATGATTGAGTCAGTTGTAGAGAATCGAAATGCGATAGGTAGTGGCAGGCTTCGCCTTGATACTTATGATGGCTCGAGGAGAAGTCTTTTATTAGTCACAAGGGAGCCTTCAACGTAGACTCCGTCTCGACCAGGCAGACGTGAGGCCATCGTCGCCAGTCTGTAAGCTCACAGGAACGAAATTGGTAGGGCGCAGGCAACGATACGGGCTACCCGACGTCGGAGAGCATGCAACGACCGCGAATTTGGCCGACACATACGTGCATCGCCAGACTTGACCTCAGTTGGTGAGCACTGCCTCTCATACCAAGCTTCAGGAGGTCGAAGCTGTTGAAGCTTTGGACGTGTTGAAGAATTCTCTCGGCCGGAATGTGCTTGGCAGTAGCAGAACGGAGGCGGTGAGAGTGAAAACCGGGTCAGGGTGAGACCAGCGACGACCTTTTCCATGCACCATGTGTCAACGGGGAGGCCCACGACGGAGGTCGCAGATTCAAAATTAGTTGATGGATATCTTCGGGGCATCAAATGCATACCATGAAGACATTGGACATTGCGACGAGCGTGGGAGGATGCTAGAGCGACTTCAAGCAGAGAAAAGATGTTTGCAGCGAAGGACAAGTAACAACCAAGTGACAAGTGTACCTCTTCTCGACGCGATCCGTGACAATAAGTTGCACGGCAAGCTGTTCTGCTGAAGACATCAATTATCGCCCGTATAGATCCAGCAGACTATGGCTATGTAGAAGGAAGGAATGTCAAGTCGAAGACTCATGGCTGTTGCCATCAAGGTCGAATTCGCGACGTTGTCGAGGCAACAAAAGCGATCCGCAAATCTCGACCGTCGCAACTTCCTCTGACGATTCGAACCAGGCAGACACCAGCAGCAACCTTCCATCGCACCTTCCATATCCGCTCAGCTCAATGCCTTCGACATTGACGATGACGCCGCCGAGTTCCCTTTCCGTCGCGACTTTCACAGACCCGGAGTCACAAAGCGGGCACACACTGAAGTGCAGGGCCAACGCTGTTCAACATGCGCAACGAGGAAAGAGAAGGAAGGCACGAAAGGAAGAGGACATGAATATGCAAAAGAATCGGTGAGTGAGCAAGTCATCCTTGCGCCCACTCCTCCATCTATGCTGTTGAGCAGCTCGCGCTCGAGGTCGTCGAGAACGGCGCGACAGACGCTGGAGTTGCTCGAGAGTGGTAACACGCCGAACGTGCATTCGAACTCGCCAAACGTCAGATGGATGCACTTCAACTCAATGTCTACCTTGCGCGATAGAGGTGAAACGAACGACATGGCGGAAGTGGTGAAGAGGCAGAGTTGCAATGATGGTCTAGCATAGCTTGGAGCAAGCTCTTGCAAGAAGGCATCAATACATACGAGGACAAGGAGTCCAAGCCAGGCTGCTTGTTACTGCTTGAGAACAAGTTTGATTCTTGATGGCCGCGAGCTACTTCCAGAGTCCTCATCCTATCTAATAATCGCGACCAAGACCGATTCATCGCCGGTTTTGGTTGTTGCAACCCCGCAAGATTCCTTCGAAGGCGGGCCGTGTTCCGGCAGCCAAGACGGTGTGAAGCCGCCCTCTATCGCTCCTTCCACCGAAGTCTGACCTGACGATCGGCTCGTCAACCGTCATCTTCAACGGACCACGACAACAATGACCTCTTCCCCTCTCCACCAGCATCACACATTGCCGGATGAGCCGCGAGCAATGATAAGCTGCGACATCCAGTGTCCCTCCAACCACCAATTCCGCACTCTAACCAGCAACATGAGCAACAAGACTGTCAACGTTGCCGAGTACCTCTTCACCAGACTCAATCAGCTGGGTGTCAAGGACCTTCACGGTGTACCTGGAGACTTCAATCTTGTCGCCCTTGATTATGTCGAGCCATGTGGTCTTAACTGGGTCGGCAACTGCAACGAACTGAATGCTGGTTGGTCTCGTTGCTCTCATACTAAGACTCGATGGCTGATTGAATCAAAGGATACGCCGCTGATGCCTACGGTAGACTGATGGGCATGGGAGCTTTGGTGACAACCTTTGGAGTCGGTGAATTGTCTTGTCTCAATGCCATTGCTGGATCTTTCGCCGAGTTCTGTCCTGTCGTCCACATCGTCGGAACGCCGAAAAGAGCGGCGCAGAAGAGTGGCATGCTTTTGCATCATACAGTATGTCTTCGGCGATGACCTCTTCGCTATGGCAGGCTTCTAACTCCTGTCCAGCTCGGAAACGGCGACTTCAATGTCTTTGCCGACATGTCCAAACCGATCACAATCGCCCAGACCAACCTCATGGACCCTGCGACAGCACCGGCCGAGATTGATCGCGTCTTGCAAGCATGCTACGTCAACAGCAGACCTGTATATATCCAACTGCCTGCCGATATGGTCATGGAAGAGGTGGACGGTAAGCTGTTAGACACTCCAGTTGACGTCAAGCCACCACAAAGCGACAGAGAGACTGAGAACCTGGCGACCGAGATCATCCTGAGAAAGCTGTATGCAGCAAAAAGACCGACACTTCTGCTCGATGCGGGTGCTCAACGCCACCGTGTACGTGACCCGCCCTCCTCTGGCTACCAGGGGGCTGACATGAATATAGGTCGAGGACTTGACAGAGGACTTCGCCCGCAAGACTGGACTCCCGACGTTCATCACTCCCATGGGTAAAGGTGTCGCCAACGAAGAGTCGCCAAACTATGCCGGTATATACATTGGTAAAGGCTCAGAAGAAAGTGTCCGCACCAGAATCGAAGAGAGCGACTGCGTCATCACCATCGGAAACGTCAAATCAGACGTCAACAGCTTCGGCTTCTCGTATCGCATCGGTCGACTGACTTCGGTGGATTTGCACTTCGACCACGTCGTCATGGACTGCGCCAAGTTCGAGAATGTCTACATGAAGTGGCTGCTGGAGAGACTTGTCCGCGAGGTGGATCCCTCAGAAATGCAGATGGAGAAGGTTGACATGCCTGTTCGCAAGAACGTCGAGCTTACCAACGGCGAGGCGGCGACGCAAGACGTCACTCACGCCTGGCTATGGCCACGCATCTCTTCTTGGTTGAGGACGGGAGATGTAGTAATTACCGAGACTGGTACATCGTTCGTCGGTATCTGGGAGACCAAGTTCCCAGCAGGTGTACAAGCCATCAACCAGACCTTGTGGTCGTCAATAGGCTATGGTCTCGGAGCAGCTCAAGGTGCGGCGTTGGCTATGAAGACGTCCGGCGGAGGTCGGAGGACGGTCTGTTTCGAAGGCGATGGTGGGTTTATGAACGCTGTGTCTGTTTGAGCACCGTATTGACAAGCTGCAGGCTCGTTCCAACTCACCGCTCAAGAGCTGTCAACCATCATCAGACAAGACTTGGACTGCACGATCTTCCTGATTGAGAATGACGGATACGAGATCGAGCGCTGGGTGCATGGCATGAAGGCCAAGTACAACGATATCAGCAAATGGAGATACAGCAAAATTGCCGAGGTCTTCACGCCAGAGGAGGAGGTCTCCCAACATCGTGTCAAGTCGTACAAAGTCAGCACTCGCTCGGAACTTGAGGAACTTTTGGCAGATGAGGAGTTTTCGGAAGGAAAGGGTTTGCATGTGAGTCCGAAAAGCCACTGCTGTCGACGGCGCAAGACTAACGATTTGACAGTTCGTCGAGCTGCATATGCCAAGATATAATGCACCGCAGACACTCATCGACTTCGCCCAGAGCCTGTCGAAGAAGCCTTCGTGAGGGGCGATGTCAGGCCCGGACAGAGATATTCCCGAAGAAGGAGCATACCCCGAGGAGCCTTAACTCCTTGAGTGGTCGCTTGACTCATGCGGACTCGCTTGTTGATCTGCGGACTGCAGATCCTCCGCAACCCCACGTTGATCATCGCGATCTCCTCGGCTCATGCACATTCGCTTCTCGATTATACATCTACAACTGTACCTACAACATCTATCCTTATGAACAACCCATGCAAATGATGTTACATGATCTCGTCGCAGGACACAAACGCCGTGCGATTGTTGTCTGTTGTTCGTTTAAACTTCAGCCCTGGACAAGTCTGTCTTTTAGGTTTCGATGGCGTACACACGTGCCATCGCAACGGTTCTTCCGTCATGCCGGCCGTTGAACTTTACATGGAAGAGGCTGCGCCTACCGAGGCTCTGCCAGGTACCAGAAGACTTTTTCCAATTCACTCCATCAACAGACGAGATGATCTGCAAGACTCCATGTTTCCTACGGACGTACTCGACAAACCATGTCTTCTTCATCGGCGAACAGCACCATGCACATGTTCAGATGCCGGCTCCTGCAGTAGGTACAGTATTCCTAAGTGGAGGCATTCGCTAGACATATCTCGAAATGGACTACCGGAAGAACTAGGTGAGTATTGGCAATCGCTGCCCTGAATTCAGGCTCAGTATATCAGCTTCGCCCTCCCCTTTGCCTTTCTCATCTTCATCATATCCTTCAGTCGCTCTCGTCTCTCATCATGTTGTCCTCTGCCAGGGACATGCTCCCCTCTCTCGCTGTCTGGAGTCTGCTGTTGCCATCCACCTTGGCCGCAATCCTTCCCCAGTATGACCCCTTCTACACTGCTCCTGCTGGCTACGAGAGCAAGGCCCCAGGAACGATTCTTCGCTCCCGCAGAGTCGCGACAGCATATCTTGGTCTGATCCCTGATGCAGTGCAAGCATGGCAGCTGCTGTATCGCACCACTGCCATCAACGGTACCGCGATCTCTTCGGCAACCACTGTCTTCAAGCCTCTCAACCCCAAGACCGACAGCTTTGTCAGCTTCCACACTGCCTACGACGGTTCTGCAGCAACCGGTGCTTGTGATCCTAGCTACAACTACCAGCTGTTTGCTCCCCAAATCGATCTCATCTCCTCGGTCGAGTTCTTCCTGCTTCAGGCTTACCTTCTGCAAGGATACATTGTACAATCCCCAGACTATGAGGGTCCTGATGCTGCGTTCGGTGCTGGCCGTCTCGCTGGTATGGGCGTTCTTGATAGCATGCGTGCTATTGCCAACTTCAAGACCACTCTTGGCCTCACAACTTCGACTCCCAAGATTGTCGGATATGGATACTCTGGTGGTGCAATTGCGACTGGCTGGGCAGCTTCTCTTCTCTCCAGCTACGCTCCTGAACTCAACGTCCTAGGCTGGGCTCAAGGTGGTACACCTGCCAACCTTACCGGAACAGCTGTCTTCATCGACGGCACTCTCTTTGCTGGCTTCCTGCCTCAAGCTCTTGTGGGTCTTGGAGCAGACTCCGCCTACGGCGCTCAACTCGATCCAGTCATCAACCGCATCGCCACCGCCAAAGGCAAGAACACCCTCAGAGTCGCCGAGCAGATCTGCGGTGTCGAGAATCTCTTCACCTTTGCTTTCGGCCAGATCCAAAGCACCGATTTCCAGACTCTCGGTAACAAAGTCTTCTTTGAACCGACTATTGCGAGCATCTTGGAGAAGACTGTTATGGGTGTCAACCCTGATGAGACGCCCAAAGCTCCAGTCTATCTCTTCCACGCGACCAATGATGAGATCATTCCTTACGCCAACGCTTCAACATTGTACTCGGATTGGTGTGCTGATGGCGCTTCCGTCCACTTCACCACTGTAGCCAATGGCGGACATGCAACAACAGAGATAATCGGGTTCGTCGGCGCATTCAATTTCGTCAAGGCTGCTTTCGCCGGAACAGTGGCAAAGGGATGTTCGACTGAGACGATCCTGGATGACAGTCTGGACTTGCTTGCGTTGGGTGTCTCGTTGGAGCCGGTGCTTGTGCAGCTGTTGAATGCGCTTGCTGTGGCTGGAAGAAAGGACATCAATATCAAGAATGACATTACGACGCTCAATGAGACTGTTGGAGCTTGAGGGTGGTAGGGTGTACAACGTCGCTCCTTCCGAGCTTCAATGAAGATTTTCACTTCGTTCTCATACTTCTTCTGAAACTTAAGCATCTCCCTGCAGACTTGAACTGACATGTCCGGTGGAGGTTACCCTCATCGACTCGCACCTCTTCTCTATTCCATCGCACTTCACTCTTTGATAGGCCTACTGCAGCTGTATCCAGAGCCACCAACGCTTCCTAAATCGCCATTGCTATACCGGTACTCTCTTACAATTGCGCTGTAGCGATGCGCTGCAGATGTAGTACATTCGTCATTCGTCTGGCCGAAAGTCTTTCCTGTTTCCAAAAAGGCTGTCTGCCGTTCTTTGTTTTTGTCGTAAGGGATGTTGGTTTTCTGGTGTCTTTGTTGTTCGATCTTCTTTGTCGTGCCGAAAAGGGAGCCGCTTGCAGCAAAGAAAGTTCTCAATGGATGTGTGTGTGTGTGTTCATCTTTTCCTCCTGTCGAAGATGTGAGACAATGTGATGTGCAAGTCTGCTGTCGCTGCTGATTTCTGTCCCAAGAAAGAGGCGGTGCGTTGGGGATGACTGATGGAACTGTCTTTCGTCGAGGGAGAAATGCTGGAAGATGAGTCCAAAGTTGGTGATCAACGCTGACAGGCAAAGATGCTGCGCTGGCGGGCGGGTTAGGACACTCTGCGGCAGCAGACCAAGCGGCCATTTGATTTTCGTCCTCGGCGGACTCGAGGGATTTGAGTGATAGGTGTGGAAGCTTGGTGCTCAAGGCGAGAAGATCAGTTCCAAAGATTGTCCAGCTCGTCAAGTCCGGCCAGTGTCTTGAAGAAGGGGCGGTACTGGGCGTCGATGTCTTCCTCCGCGTCTCTGGCAATTTTGACGTTGACCCGCTTGAGCGCCGGCGGGGCGTGCAAGAGAGGAGCTGGGGAGGTCTTGGAGATGTGGGCGAAGAAGCGCGATAGCTCGGCCAACGAGTCGCCAGAGGTGGCAGCGGAGGTATCAAATTCGGCTGCGCTGGACTGAGGCACATTGTCGAGAATAAGCTTCTTCAGGACAGGCATGTTGACCAAGAAAAGGAGGAGATCTGTGTTGATGGCAGTACGAGAGCCCAGTTGAACACACTCGCAGTGCTGTGACTATTCAATCAAACTGTGCAAGGCAGGCTCGGCCATGTAGTCGGGGTGAAGATGGGCACTGTCCTGATAAGTGAATACGAGTTGCCGGCCATGCTGAGCCACTTCGAAAAGACTTACTCAGAATCGCTGCCTTCGTGGAAGACCAGCTCTTTGCTGAAGAGACACACTTCACAAACATGGCACATAGAAACCACATGTCGAGCGAGTAGTCGTATTCCTCGAAGTCGACGAGCAACTCAGGACCCGTGAAGTAACGCGAAGCGATTCGGAAGTCGTATTCGGTGCCGGCCTGGTCGAACTGAGCAAGACTCCATTCGAACAGGTATAGCTTTCTCTTTCCATGGTCAATCATAATATTGCGAGGCTTGACGTGGTGGTGCATGGTGCCCTTGCTGTGACAGCGATTGAGCGCCTGGTATGGGGTCAGTAAACGAATAGAGATGGGCCGCCAATGGGATCCATAGGGGGATTTTTGACGTACTCTGTGGGCTGAGCAAGGGTGTTGACATCTTCTCGAGCCAGGGCGAGGGCGTTGTCGAAAAGGCTTGCGGCAGGGATCTTTGTCTTCTCGGGGATTTGGTGGCCTCGTCGTTGATGATGCCAGCGTGCTCGCGTTTCTCCAAGGAGATGGTTCTGTGTTTCGAGGATAGACCTAACGCACAACGATGTTGATGCACGAAAGATCAATCAAGGCTGCTGAATGAGTATGTTGAGAGAGAATTGTTGTGTTGTAGTCAAAAAGATGGAGAAGAAATGGGTGCGCGCAAAGTTTTCCCGATTGCGATGTGAGTGCTCAGGGTCGTGATGATCAACAGGTGACGGCAAAGACTGCAAGATTGTGAGGATCTTCGCTCACTCACTCACGAGTTGACAGCGAATCATGAGATTTTCGACTTCCCTGCTCTGCCCGGGCAAAGCGTGTCAAAAACATCCGGCTGTTGATATGTGTAATGATTTTTGCTTCTAGCCATCAGAATAGGGAGATGGGTTATTTTGAACACTACTGTGCAACATGACTCTGACGAGAGAATAATGGTGCAATCACGACTGAAAGATAAACTTAGTTGCAGGGAGCGTTTTTGTGAAAAAGGGCTTGCAAGAAAGAAAGATCATGCACTTGCACGACATGTGGGAAACACGAAGAGAGAAGAAACTTTGGATTGCTATGTAGAGGCCACCGGCACCGAGGATCGCAGTGCGAATAAAGAACGCCTCTGCACGCGAAATATCAGAGTCAAGACACCTTTTTGATCTACTCCCATGAGTCCCATCTTGGATCAACTCCATATTCGCCCACCACCAAGGTCATTCCAGGAAGATCGACATGAGCAATGCGGGACAGAGCTTTGTTGATTCCGTCGATTTCTTCTTGGGAACCGAGCACGTCGATGTCGGCAATGGAGAGAACGAGATATTCCAGCTTTGGAAGACCTGTCAGGAATGCTAGCCAATCAGCGCCGGTGGTATCAACACTGCTTGTCGACTTGGCGTAGCCCTCAATGTCAATAATCAGCTCTTTGAGATTGGGCAGGCGAATGAGCTCAAGAAGGGATGAGGAGGGGATAGTGCATTTATCGTCGAGCTGCATGTGGATATTCACCACCTCCAACTTCTTCAGACCACCGATGACTGCGAAGACTTTGAAATCTTTTGCGTCGTCCCAAAGAGTCGGATTCAGATCGAGGCCGAGTTCTGTGAGGTTGGGCATGACGGGAAGAAGACGAGCAGCAACTCTTCCTGCGCCCCGGTCGAAGGACAACCGCCCAAGCACACGCATGGCAGGAAGTGACCAGTCAGGGCCAAAGTGACGGAGTAGAGAGTTCACAACCACTGTGTCGATGTTAAATGTTCCCGGCAGGTCGAGGTGTTCGAGTTTGGGCGAGGTCAAGATGCAGATCAAGTCGTGATATGTCATCTGTGAGCTGTCTTCAGATTCGATCACGACCCGCTCGAGGTGGATGGCGCCGCGAAGAAAGTCGTGCAGCAGTTCATAGGGGAGATGGATTTGCTCGCGAAAGGAGAGCTCCGTAATTTGGTGAGCGACGGGGACGAGTAGAGCCAGCCAGACGTTGTCATCGTTTGGTGCTGGGCGAAAGGGGACACCAAAGTCGTCCAGAACCTCGAAAACTTTCAAGGCAGGCGTGATCAGAGCCTTGAGGGTGTCTTCATCCGCAAAGCTGAGATTATGTCCGTAGATCTGGATTCTTTGTAGCCTGGTGAAGTTGAGGGTCTTGATTCTCGCATCTGCAAGAATGCCCTGACGCGGTCCAAAGTGGAGCGTCTCGATCTGGCTTGCAAAACCGGCAACGCGCTGGGGGTCGCTGACGTGGTGGAACAAGTCCCTGAGCGTGGCTCTGCGCCAAACCAGGTTTCCACCTTGAAACTGCCAGAGTTTGCAAACCTCGACGACGTTGGCGGCTGTGATCGTGTCGTGAGGGAGAAACTGGAAGATATTGCTGATGAGCTCGGGAGGGAGTTTGCCGATAGGGGAAGTGACCCTGCAGTAAAATAATTAGCACTACGGTCGAATGTTACGGCGCTGGTGTGTGTAGTTCAGAGACTTACGCAGGAATGACCTCGGCGGGTATCTGCCAGAAAGGCGATCCTGTTTGCTTGCGGTCGGCCATGGTGTTTGACGTGTCGTGTGTCGTGGTGAAAGAAAAGTGTGTTCAGCAACGCGCAAGCTTGAGCACCTCCGACCCTCAAGCTGACGAATGCCGTCAAGTGAACGCCAAGAGCCTTGACATTTGCACACGGGGAAGAGCGTATCATAATCCTGGAGAGGGTGCATTGATAAGTGAGAAGAGGTGCTAATATTTTGATCGTCACCGTGGCATGGAACCGACCAAATTATATACGGGTCGTAGTGAGTCACCCACCGCATCATCACATGCAAGCAGAAGCTCTTCCCAAGAGAGGCGCACCGTCGTCATGCCGCGGTGTTGTCAATGTGGCAATGTGAAGACTCTGCGCATGCGATTTCCTCTCACGAGTATCAGATATATACTATCGCTTGCTCTGAAACGGTTTCCAAGAGCCTTTGGCAGGGGAAACACGAAGTCCTTCGATCTTCTGAGAAGACGTTGTCACGAGATTGACGTCCGCACAACAGTCCAGGGCGAGTCTCATGGATGTCGCTTCACCCTTGCGTTTGGTTGTTTGGGTTCATCGTGTCAGACTATAATGTGCAGAGAAGGTGTCCGTTTACAAAAGCCATCAACAAGGCCAACCCGACTGGTCGCTGGCGAATTTTCCGCAACGTGAGCGAGTGACTCCAGCATAGATGCTCAAAGTGCGTAAATTCGGGCAGCGGCCGGCGAGATGCGGTAAGAAGTTACCTGTCGAGTAACAACCAAGTGTAATTGTTTCTTTTCTCAATCCCAGTACCTCTAGGCTATAGGTCAAGAAGTGGCTGATGCCAATGTGGTCCCTAAGCAGGTTTTCAGCTCACTCATGGAACCTGATCTTTTTGATCATCGATTCAGCCTTTTTGAGCTCTGTACACATGGGATCAAGGCTTTCCCACACAGTCTGACCGTCCAGCTCCTTCTTGAGCCTAGCTGCAACGACAGCGCGGCGCTTGTGTTCTGATCTTGGACGACAGTGGCGGGAACCAAGGCTTCGTCTGCGGCGCGGCAGAACGCCTTCACAGCAGTGAGTGTGACCTTGATGCAATTCTTGAGCTGCTTCTTAGCCCAAATAAAGTGTTCCCTAGCCACATAAAATCACGTCGGTAGTCAGAGTGGGCCCCGCGAAGGCTTGATGCACAAGAGCTACCTCTGTGGCATATATAAGCACCGAGACGAATGTGCGGAATGGTCAGCCAATATATAATTGAAGTTTCAACTCCTGCCGACCCTAGAGGAGCACAGCTGTGCTGCTTTCGTCTACTTGTCTGTGAATTCTTTGTGCTTTGTGGTGGCTTTTCTGTCAGGCTCAGAGACCACTAGTGCCGGCCGTGTTTGTCGAGAAGAGCCATGGAGTGCAGAGAGCAGGAAGCTAATTGCAGCCAGAGTAAGTTCAAAAGGACCAGGAACAAATGGGTGAGCGAGGAAAGAGTTATACATGACAAACGCAGTTCCATCCAACTTGGGGATGACCACTTTGACGACTTTTTTGTTCTCTGAACAGCCCATAAAATCATTCCAATCATCCGCTCTGCGAGGAGAACAAGGAGCTCAAACGCCCGTATATTCGCATCTCGACCTCGCATCTGGCTGGAAGGTGGAGCGACCGACCCCACGCTCGACCGTTGTCATAGCCCCCGTGAGCACACCCCTTGAACGAGCGCACCTCTCGAACTCCACATCTGCTCCCTCTCTCCTCGAACGGCTTTGTGGAAGCGATGCACAAATGACACACATTCGTATGTCTTGGATATGTCATGAGACAACCCGGTACGTTCACGATGACCTGCGCCTCGCTCCGTCAAAGGTAACCTCGTTACAACTGTAACAGGCTCCTCGGGCTCTCCTCCAACCACGCGATCAATTTGCCGGCGTCGAACTCGCGGCGGCGACGCTCGCGCTCGGCAGGGCCGACGGCGTACGGACGACGGGTGCGGTCTGCGAGCGAGACGTGCTCGGGGTGTGAGTAGGAGCTACGTCACGACCACGGGCAGCGGAACCGACACGGGGAGAACGAGCGTGCAGGAGGTCGTACTCTTCCTGGTTGCGGAGCAGAGCCAGACGGCGGTCCTCTTCGGCAGCGCGGTCGGCACGCCTGCGAGCGACAGGGTCGTTGGTAGGGCCGGAGCGGACGTAGGGGGAACCGGCGTTGGCGGAAGGGTTGACCGGGCCACCAACGCCTCCAGACATCATGGTCGGATCCTCTTCCTCATGCGAGCCGGGTGCGCGGCGTGTGCTAGGCGAAATGGCGGAAAGCTCTTCAACACGAAGACGCAGAGCGGCAAGCTGGTCTTCGATGGGTGTCTCGCCGCCAGTGATGCCAATGAGTACTCACTCATGGATTTTGGGAATACTCATGACTTCCGTAACTCATGTGCGAGAACTCATGAGTCAGATGAGTTATGAGTTACATGAGTGAGTACTTATAACTCATTGGCATCACTGCTCGCCGCAGCCGCGCTGCACCTGCCTCGGGCGACCTCTTTCTGCAGGGGACGCGGCACCCACTGCTGAGGGTCCGGCTGGAAGGCCTTTAGAGACCCGAGCCAGGCATCTTCGGGAACGATGACCTTAGGCTGGATGATAGCATCAATGATCTCTAGTTTGCAAAGAGGCATGGCTACGAGCAAGTTGATGATGCTGTCGGCCTCCTTTTCTCCACACGTGAATACTTCGCAAGTCATGTCAAGTTCAAGGACGCGCAAGGACTCCCAGAGGCACAGCAGGGAGACCATTTGGCAGCCGTTGATGCGCAACACATACGCTGCCGGTGCCTTCGTGTCTGTCCTCGCATACATTTACTAGAAACACCCATGTAGCACTTGCTAAATCATTGAAAACGTGCCTCATCTTCCGCGTTCTGTATCCGAAACTGTTGCCAGGTATCAAGAGGTGGTATTCAATGGTGTTAGATTCAAGATCAAGGGCGGTAAGTGTAGCGCCAAGGAGGAACTTCTCAAGCTTGACTGTTCCAGACGAAGAAAGTGGAGTGCTGAGAGACAGGTAAATCAAGTCGACGTATCTGGAGAGCTGACGCAGCAGCAACTATCTTTATTGGCGATGGGTGATGCGATCAACAGGGAGTTCGACCAAAGAGGGGCGGAGGAGGTTCTTGATTAAGACATCATCGAGGGCGTAGGGAGTTGCGTCATCGTTGAGAGAGCAGTCTTCTCGTCTATCACAGTATCCAGGTCTCTGATCGAGCAGTGGGTCAAGCCGGAGAGAAGATGTTTAGGATGGGTCACCTCCCCAACAGTCATGACCATGGGCTGCTTCCAATCATGATCCAGGTCAGGAGTCAGGTATACCAGCAGATCGTTGTGGCAATTCATGAACCCTCGAGGCATCATGCTGATTTCCAAGGCTTGCAGGTTTGGAAGACCGCTCAAGCCATAGAAGTCCGCTTCGGAGACGTGGAGGCCGGGCTCGAAGCGTATGACCAGAGAGCGCTTTTGCTGTTGCGTGGAGACGGTGGCGAAAATATCTCCATGCATACGCTCTTGCCAGCCACTGCCGGAATTGCCGATGTCGATTTCCAGGCTCTTCAGAGCGTTGAGATTACGGCAAGTGGTCTTTATATACCACCATCAAAGATCAAATAGAAGCGAAATCAAAGATCAATGGTGGATGGTGAATATAGAGACGGACTAAACATATAAGCATGAGAAAGGGATACCGCGGCAGGAGCATGTGGTGAGCCTTGATTCGTTCATCCTACTCATCTCTTACAAGTGTAACGTCCTGGCGTTTTGGCATGGATCCCTAATTAGAGTCATCTCCAACTTCCCCGCGGAGACCACCTTTCCGATCGAAATTACTTGCGTCTCCGGCCTCATCAACATCAGGGGCGATGATACCGATATGCTTGTTACACGATTTTCAGTAGAGCAAGGCACCTGAGCCTGTATATATGGGCACCAGAGAAGGAGAGAAAGACAGAAGCAAAGAGCAAAGAACGACGAAGAAAGGCTGATTGAAGAAGACAGGAACTGAAAAGAGTAGGGGCGTATAAGCAAGAAGCAGGGCTACCGTAACCGCAAGATGCATAAGGTGCGTAGCTGTTTTGCCTCCCTTCGACTATCCTCGGAGACGTAGTGATAGGGGGCGAAGTCCCTCACAGGTCGATCAAATCTGCTCTTCCTGCTTCATCACGACCTCCCCATGCTCTATCATGGTTTCTCCGTGCATAATTTCCACGCCTTCGTCGAACTCATCCCCGATCTCACTACGGATATCATCTTGCCAGTCGTAGGTGTCGGTGCCTGTATACTCCCCAGCAGCTGGAGTAGTAACTCCGAAGCGCAAGTTACGCGGTTTCCAGTATCGAGTGTCGCCGCTGTCGTCGTTTATAGCAAGCCAGACATCCTCAGGAAGGGCAAGCCAGTCCTGCCAGTTGACAACTGTGGGCCAGCCGAAGGACTCTTCTTTGTTCACGAGGATGTCCGAATGCCTGATGAATGCATAAGCCAGGTTTGTGAGAATGTGGTGAAGCTGGATTGCCTCTTCGACGTTGAGAACCATAGTGGCGTCATTGAAGTTGGGGTCGAGAACATACCTTCTTGGCTCAGGGGCTCGAACAGTTGGCGAGGGATTAGAAGGTCCCATCTTGTTCGTCGATACAATTCCAAGATAGAACGAAGGATTGGAGGAGAAGAAAGGTTGCTATAGTCGCGTGGAAACAATGGGTGTTGACCGAGTTTGTGGCGGCGTTGATTGCCGTGTTGTCGTACTGCGCAGAGGTCATGTTGAGCCTATGCTGAAACGAGAATGAGTGTGTGTTGGGGCGGGGAACTGCGACTTAGAGAAGTTGAGAGGTTGAGCGTATGCTATATACCACCCCATCAAAACAAGATTCCAAACTCCTCATCCTGTATCAGGCAGCATGTAGCACATGAGTGTAGAACGTAAACTCGTGGGATGGCAGACCCGCAAGTAAGATATGAGGAGCTAATCAGCCGACCATATCACAGCATAGTGTGGTCCGTCATCTACGATCTTGCGATGGGAAGCAGTAGGGAACATGCACAACATAGATAGGCATGCTGCTGTAATGACGGACTTGATGTGTATAGTGAGTGACTCGAGGCGGCGGAGAAGGGAAAGGAGCATTGCGGCCGCCCGCCTCACATGGTGATATACAGGCCGTTCAGATTACTGAAGGCCTGGGGAGCTTCTAGAGCCTGGATTGTGTCGTAAATTTCGATGTCTGTGTAATTGAATGAGATTAAAGACTTCATGGCCAGAGTGAGCGCCAATGTCCCGTCGCTGACGGTTTCGTTGAAAACAGGTCCGAGGATGATCACTTCCAGATTGCCGTGAGTGATCTCGATACGGCGGATGAGGTTGATGGGTTGGATGGAGGGAACCAAGCCGTTGCGTTCGGTCTTCAAGATTCGGGCGGAAAGGATTTGAGTGCTGCGAACAAGTAGCCATAGTGCTCCAGCGTCACTGTGATACCACTTCCTGCGAACTAATGGTCAAGATCTCTACATTAACCAAAGTGGATACCTCTTGAGCCGGACTCTTTCGCACAGACAGAATAGATCTCGGGGTATATAGCTCCAATCTGATCCTCTTGGAGAGGAGGTGGAGGCACCGGTGATAGTTCTGGATGTAGCGGGAACGAACATTTCATTGCGAAGCACAAGACTCTGCCAGGACCTATGTCGAGTACAACTTGAGCGGCAATGGCTAGAGCTTGAAGCAAGTCGCCCCAATGTGCTTCAACTAGACTTCATCGCAACTTTCAACCTTGCGCTCGGTGTTCTAGCACTCATCTCTCGCCGAGATTGTGAGCGTTCTTCAAAGGAGGGTTGAGGTAGAGTTCGAGTGTCCCAGAGATAATACTGCGTGAGGAAATATCGTAGAACTCTGAACTCTTGTCATGGCTCCGCGAGACTGCTATGCTGTTGAGTGTCTTGTGGAGAATGCAATGAGAGCACTCACAGAATCGGTTCTTGATGGCTAAGCACTGGGAACGGATGCCTCTTCATCATCCTCGTCGCTCTCGTCTCCCCCTATCTTCACGTCCTCTTCAGGGTCAACTGCTGCCATCCATAGCAGGATGACAGCAGCCTGCCCGATCTTCTGTTGTTTTTTGCGGGCACAGGTAGATAGGACTGCTTACTCACTGCTGGATAGGCTTTCATGCGTCCAGAAATCGGCCTTTGTGAAACATTCTGCGTAGCATGTGTGCTTCGCTCTGAGGACGTCTTCCAGTTAGGCCGATTTCCAGAGCAGATGAGCAGCCGCGGCGGCGAGCTCACTGTTGACGAGAGAGCGCAGGTGGGTTGTCTCTTAGATGGGTCATGATCTGGTTCACGAGCTCTCCGGTCGTTGATACGTGAAAGTGATTGACGGTTCGCTCGATGGCGACATCGAGGGATTACTGCATACACTGCAGGACAATGCATTAGTATAGTCGACTACAATGTAGAGAAGGAGAGCAGGGGGTTGCGTACACATCGACCTTGGTTTTGGCCTTGCTAGCGTACCCAACGAGACAGAACTTCTTTCTCGTAATAGGGGCCTCCAAGCTCTTAGTATGGTGACGTACAGCGACAGCGGCATACGAAACGCGCTTCTCAGAAAACCAACAGGCGAGAGTCAGTCTGTGACGATACTACTGCTAAACAGTTCTACAAAACGCCAGTTGTCGCTACCGCTGCAGATGTTCCAGTCGTCTAGCTCGATGACGATGTTATGAGGTGGAGAGCGGGCGCTCATGGTGGTTGCAAGGAGCATTTGCATAGTACTGCTAGGGTGGTAGTACCAAGCCCCCAATTGCAACCCGCCAAACGTAGCAGCAAACCCATACCCACTAGGGGAACCGTACATCTTTAGCTCTAGGCCGCAAATTGAGGATGGCAATGTGTTGGAATCAATCCCGTAGGTGGGTATCCTTAGGTTATATATTCCATAGTGCAGGTGAATAGAAAGATGAACAGGGAATGGAAGGATGAGAAGGAAGCAGTCGAATGTATATTCGTAGGAGTTCCAGGTCGCCCTGGACAGCCATACTCATTTCGGATAGTATACAAGCTGATTGGAGACAATGACATGCTCTGCGCAGGATGTGGTATGTGTGGCAGGTATATAGAGGGCCAGTACATCGGGGGAGCGATGTTAGCGTGACTGGAATCGAAGTGATCGCGATTGATGAGAGTAAGGTAGAATGACGGCAGGTCGAATATGCATAGCATTGGTCGCGAAGCGGATGGTCATGCTTGAGGTTGCCTAAGCCTTACGAGAGAGAGGGGATACAGAGCAATGAGTGCTCTACAAGAAAGTGGTCGATGAGCTGTACTTATGCTCTACGAGCATGTTTGCTTCTCCTTTGGTTCATCTATGGAAGCAGCCTTTGGCTTTCACCAATCCTCCATCATGATGCCGGGAAGCTTCCATCCCGACTCTGTCGCAGTATAGTTCAGTTTGAGCAAGCAAGTGGGGTGAGCAAACTCGCAAGAGCTGAAGGCTTCTTTGTCCACAAAGCCATGAGTTCTTTGATACTTTTGGACTTGCTTTGTTCAATCCTCTTCTAGGACATTCGCGTCCATGCTGCGACGGACAAGGTGAGCAAGTCAATGTCACCATTTGGAGTAGTTGGCGTTTGTCAAACAAATTTTCTCCCAGAGCTCGTGAGCGTGGTTTAAACAGCTGAAACCGACACAGACACGCTATCAGTCTTCATTGTTGGCAGGAATTGCGGCAAGGCAAATACCAGTCGACAACTGTGAAAGAATAATTCCAGTCATTTGATAAATCTCCTGATCATTGATCCGAGCCAGGGTGGTCCTGTCATTGATACGACTTGGTTGATCGGAAATGGGTTCAGACATGCCGATCACCCAACTTTTCTTTATCGTTTTCCACTTTCCAATGCCTTGTGCTCTTCGAGGAGCAGGAAGTCTCATGTTGATTATGAGTAGGATGACTTTCGTTTAGGTTAAGATTAAGGACTTTGATGGGTCGCCTGCGTTCCTTTGTTCTTGCCGGCTCACGGCAAACCGGACAATCTTTAATGCGACAGAATGGTATCGCAAGCAAAACAGAAGTCAACGCAAAACAGCAAACACAAAGATGTTCAAATTGGGAATGAAGAATGACTCGATATGAGAAGATCCCCGACTATCGCCGACAGCAACAGTCGTCGGCAAACAAAAAAAGTCAATTCTACTCGGGCTTTGTCGGCGTCTGCCGGAAACAGCATCATACCCGGACCACTTCCTCCCATACCAAACACCACTTCCGTCCCCAAAACATCCTACAATTTCGCACCCCTCGCCCTCCCAACCATCCCCTCCACCGCTCTCATCCCCGCCTCAGCAACCTGCACATCCTCCCCCGCACTCCCACTACTCACCCCAATCGCCCCCACTACCTCGCCCTCAACCAAAATCGGCACACCACCCGTCAAAGTGCAAAACCTGCCTCCATTACTATACTGAATACCCCAACCCACGCCGCCGGGGAAAAAAGTGGGGGAGTTGTAGTGGGAGGTGGGGAGACGGTGGCCAGCTGCCGTAAAGGCTTTGTTGATGGCGATGGAGATGGAAGTGAGTTTTGCGGTTGGCATGCGGGTGAAATGGAGGAGGTGGAGTGTGCTGTCTACGATGGCGATGTTGACGTCTGTGGTGTGGGAAGTGTTGGTTAGACTGAAGGAGAGGGGTTGTTGTGCAAGAAGGGGAGGGGGGAGGATTACCTATGCCTAGTTCTTTGGCTTTTTGTTGTGATGCTGAGGCTGCTGCTTCTGCTGCTTGGAGAGAGAGGATGGGTAGAGATCTGGTTGCAGAAGCCATCTTTTATGTGGTGTTATCTTGGGCTTGTTAGAATAGCTGTCGAATCTGCGAAGAATGGAGCCCGTGACGATTCTGAGGGATGTCCAGTATGGGAAAGCAATGATATGTATCTTTGACATCGGCGATAGGTCTTTGCCGGCAGAGTTTGAAACGGCTTCGGCAACTCTGTTTGACGAACTTTCTTGCACGTCTGCTCATGAGAGAAACGCTTTCCGTACAGGAATGAGACAAGGCCAGTCTGGATGGCCAGCTATCTAGTTTGAATTCATGTCACTTCATATTTGCGACACTAGAGCGGGTCTGGGGTTGCGGTGGAAAACAAAAGCAATTTCATTGAAGCAGGTGCAAAAGTAAAGTTTATAGCCAATTGACCCCCAGCGGCAGTGCCCTCATAGGCATGATAGTTCTGTCCTCTCCCTCATACTCGCGACGGTCTATCTCGTACCTCATTCGACAGTACTTCCATCTCACCTCAAGCGTTCGGATGAGCAACGACCTGAGTCCCGTCTTCGGTGTTCCATCCCTTTTCCCTGCAAAGCGCCTCGTACTTCTCAACCTCCTCAGGCTTGGCCCAAACGACTCCAGGCAACATGATCTGGCGCTCCTTCAGCGAAGCCATTTCGAGCAACATCTTCAGCAGAACCTGACCGCGGGCCAAAATGTTGATTTGATTGGGGAAGTGAGCATCGTCGGTGAGGCAAAGACTGAGCACTTGCAGTTGCTTCAGAGGTGACAAGGCAATCAGGTCTGTTTCTCTCAACACGATGTTCGGCTCAATGTCAATCTGGAGGGTGGTGATGTTCTTCAGAGATCCGAGGGTGGCGAAGACGATGGAGTCTGTCGTGTGTCTCCAGTAGCCGAGCTTGTTTTCAAGACAGATGTAGACGTTCTGGACGTTGGGCATTAGGCGAAAGAGTGCAGAAGCTGCGCGGCCGGCGCCGTCGTCGAATCTGAGGTTCAGGGTGCGCATCTTGTCGAGGGGTTTGGTGCAGGCGACCTGGATACGGCTCATGGTGGAGGGGGTGATGGAACGAATTAGAGTCAGGTCCTCGAGGTGGGGGTTGGCGAAGATGCTTGCGACTCCCTCGTCGGACAAAGTCTCGCTGACATCGTCATTGAGTGCAAGGTGGGTGAGCGGGGGCATGGACTTGAAGAAGGCGTTGAGCTGTTCTGTCGTGACACAGATGTTGAAGGTCATGGTCAACTTCGAGAGCTTGATTGCGACATGCTGTAGCTTCTTGAGCCATTGAGCGTCTGCCTCAGGGGCTCTTTGGATGAAACCATGATCGGCGATGATGGTCAATGACTTCAAAGCGGGCGTGATGAGTGCGAGCATGACATTCGGACCGCGTGGTTCCAGGTGTTCCTCGTGCAGCGAAAGCGTCTGGAGGTTGGAAAACTCGAGGTGGCTGACGTTGAGCGAGCCGAAGACGACTTCGGACCAGTCGAAGTCCAGGATCCGGACGAACGTGGCGTAGTACTGTTGCCTTGTGTGACTTGCCACTGTACCGGCGACTTCCCTCGGCTTGACGTCGTCCCACAGGAGATGACGACCAGCCCAGGTCCATTGCTTGCATACGGCGACTGCAACGCTGAGAGTGCGCCTGTCGTTGTGGAGGTACCCCATGATCTTGTTGATGTGTTCTCCTGTATGAAGGACTGGATGTGCGTTGGTGCGTGGCATGGTGTGCACCAAAAGCTCTGCCGGATGCCTGGAGAAGTCAGCAGGGAAGTGGTGTAAGCAGGTGTTAATGCTTACTGAGCAGGAAGAGGCCCCACGATGAGGCCGGTGCTGGATGGACTCATGATGGGGTTGTAAGTTGAAAGATGATTGCGATTGCGCGCAGAAGTAAGTTTGTGTAGGAGAATGTTATAGTGTTGTTGACCAAGAGGGAAAAGATGAAGTCGCGCGTTGCACAAGTTTTTGAGTCGAATGACGCGTCAAGTCCGGCTGGTAGAAGTGTATGTTTCGATTTCTCTTATAGAAAGGGTAAACAGAAAAGTCGCAAGCTCGAAACGTGCTCGAGTCGGGCCGACGACTAAGCAACCGTCGAACTTCGTCGAGGTTCGGGATCGGGATATTCCAAAACTCGAACTTCGGTCTTGTTGCAGGTCACAATAAAATGTGTAGAAACCCTTTCTTATATATGATCGCCAGCTCGAAGCTCCCTCAGCCGCCTGTCATCTCAAAGAGACAATATAGTATATCTTGATGTTAAGAGCTTCTATAGTTCTCCCTTGCCTCCGGTTGATATCTTGATGTAGACTTGAAGCAAGGGATAAATTAGGTAGAAGCAAGAGAGAAGTAATGTTGCCCCTTTGTCTCGAGTATATATCAAATGCTATTTGTTCACTCTGTCCAGCCACCTATAATTGTTTTCTGCTCCTGCAACGGACAGACATTAGTAAAGTTTGCTTTTCAATCCGTACGGGACCAAGATCGATAGGTGTTAATATATAGATGCTTGTTAAAATGTAGAGTCGGATTTAGACGTAGTGCTCTACTTATAACCTATTAAAAATGATGAGTGCATGACTTGGATTGCATACAGAAGGAAGAGCTCGATCTATATATTTACTCTGCTACAATGACTAAGACTGTCACAAAGGCCATGTTTGCTATTGCTAACCTTCTGAAGGCTTCTAACTAATAGGCACAAAGGCTTCTTCGACTGGCACTCCATTAAGTCTCTTCTAGAATCCAATACTCCCCCTAAGACCTTGGTGTGCATGAGAATAGTGTTTTGTGTCTATCAAGAAGATCTCCCCCTGACACATAGCAATAGTCATGTGTTTAAGATATCTTAACATCTACAAAGCTTTCGTAATAGTATCCATCTTCTTCCTAAAGAATCCTCCCTGCTCCACATCAACACCAGAAGTGTACTCCCCAACATCCTTCCCATGACTGACCACATTACTCAAATCCTCCTCATCAGGTTCAGGAGCCTCCAACCACGAGCCCACTGGATTTTGCGCCTTGACTGGCGAGATGGAGCAAAGCACCCAATACACACCACCACTTACCAAGAAGCCTGTGAAGAAGTTCAAACGGTAGATATAAGTCGCACCAATCGGGACGGAAGCACCACAAGCGCCGGCGAAGCCTACGACATTGATGAGGATGCCGCAGAAATACGCCACATAGCCACGCCATTGAATGCCAAAGCGACCGTAATAAGGACCATTGACATCAGCAGAGTATAAATCTCTAGCTTGAAGATACCCCTTGCGCACGCAGTAGTAATCGATAATCATAGGACCAGCGATGGCGGAGAGGAAAACAGAGTAGGCGGAGAGGTATGTAGTGAATGTGCTGGAGCCGGCGACGAATTGCCAGGGACAGATGGCGATACCGATGACGGCGCAGATGTAGCCGCCGCGGCGGATGTTGATGTAGCGGGGGAGGAGGGCGGTTAGATCGGTACCGGCGGAGATTGAGTTTGCGGCGATGTTGGTGCCGAGTTGGGCGACGACGAAGGCGGCGGCGATGAGGAAGACTCCTGCTCTTGCGCCGGCACTGCCATGGCCGTCTTCGGTGATGAAGGCGTTGAGAAGTTGAAGCGGGTTCCAGACTGCGCCGAGTTCGGGGTATATTACTGCAGAAGCAGAGCCAACGAGGATACCAATGAGAGAGGTGAGACCAAATCCAAGGGGAATGGTGATAAATTGAGGGAGAAGAGCATCGCTGGGCTTGCTGGCGAAACGGGAGAAATCAGGGTCGTTGACGATGAGGGTAGCGAAGTTGGAAACGGAGGACATGATGCCGGTGATGATGGCCCAAGCAAGTTCGGATCCCTTCGCCTTGGCGGGTTGATGAATGATCTTGCCAGCTCCTCCTGCTCTCACTAGCGCCCAGACGAGGAACGCGATACCCGCGGTGGGTGCGACAACAGCCTTGACGGTGAATAGATGGCGGACTTTGTGGACGGGGAACCAGATGAATGGCAGCGATCCAGCCCAGAAGAGAATGAAGCCGATGAGATAGTTGACAGTGCCTCCCAGAGCGATCTCCTTCGTCAAGGAAGGACGTGTTCCGAATGACGGCCAGATGGCGAGAATCATGAGGTAGACGCACTCTCCGCCAATCCAGCCTTGGACTCCGTACCAGATACTGTATGCAATGTCAGAAGGAATGATGGGATGAGAAGTTGATCTGGTACTTACCAAGCCATCAGAGCACGGTTCAAGACCGGCCACAGCGATCCGTAGATACCAAACGATGATCTGTTCATGACGGGGAAAGAGATGTGGTAGACAGCACCGACGCGACCGGTCAAGCAGATGAAGAACGCCGATATACTGTAGCCGACCCTGAGAAGCATGTCAGTCAAAGTCTTGTTCCTTGTTCTCGACAAGACTCACCAGACACAAATCCAAGCTTGCCACCAAGAGAGACCGACTTCAAGCGATGAGGCAGCAATCATCCATGTGTTGATGTTGAACGAATCGGCAATCCAGAAGCCGACAAAGTTGAAGGCGGTCCATTGACGACGTTCCGGCTCGACAATTTTCAAGTCATGATTGGTGAGGAACAACTCCTTGTTCGACAGACCATTATCATGCTCGACTTCCTAGGAGACAGTAAGTTCGATGTATTCGTTACGGAGCAGCTGAAGATGATGCTTACGATTTTTTGTAATAACGAAGGCATGTCGAGAAGTTGTCGCGTGTCTGGAGGACCGAGAACGATGAATCAACCAAGCTATATGTATATTCTTCTTCCTCAAGAGTCGTCGTTGTAGATAAGGATACGTACCTTGGACGGGGTCAATGCGCAGCAAAAGGATGGGGATGTGGCTGAAGGTCGATCGAAACGGGCGTCACCAGAACCTTAGATAACGACTCCACGCTGGCGGCTGCAAGTCATCCTGTCCTGGGCCGCTCTAGAAGTCGACAACAATGCAGAAAAGAAGGAATTGGAGCCCGAAAAATCCGGAGAAGAAACATCTCGAGACTCGAGTATTTTTGCGATGAAGTGGAATAGCAGTCGCATACCATCCCCGCCATCAGATAATTACGCAAGCGGATGAGTAAAGTCTGGAGAAGTAGCGCGCCAATGAACTGACATCTCAACAGCTTGGCCGTGAGAAATCCAAGCGACTTGGCTTGATGGTGTATCTTGTCTATCTTTCTGTTACTTTTGTCGCTGATATAGGTGCGGCGGGCGTGTTACTCGATGTGATCGAGCAAAAACATGGAGACAAGGTTTGGGCGGCAGAGATAGAGTTTGTGCGACATTTCCCGATGCCTTTGCCGCGGTAGATAAGATGTCGCACTAGACGCGACATCATCTTGTGCATGGAGCGCTGCTCCGAGACTAAGAGGTGCTGGCAGAGAACCTAGCTGTCAAATTGCGAGGATGATATGGATGTCAAGTCTTTTCCTGTCATGCGGAAAGATCAGCATCTCTCCGCCAATAGCTACGCACAAACATCTCCGTGTGAAAAAGCAAGAAGTTTTCCCAAGTCAATGATTTGTCCAGCGAGGTTTGACAGAAGTCAATGCTCTCGCTGGACATCTACTACGTCCCACAACGTTACTACATCTCGAGAAGCGCAATTCATGGTCTCTAGGATGCGTTGAGAGGCATGCTAAAATCATTTACAAAGTTGAAGATGGCATGCAAATTTTGCCAAGTCACAATTTTAAGCCTCACACCCTGGCTTCAATTTTGCTGTCCACGCAAAACACTTTTCGAGTAGATTATCGTGTATCCTGGCATCTCTCACGAGTATCACGTTGATCTTCTGGTTGTGATAACGAACGATTAAATTCTGTTTGCAAAGGACGCCTGCAAAGGGGTTCGTTCCTATTCGAATTTTCTAACATGAGGCAGAATTTGACGCATTGCTAGACAATGTATCACTACTGCGCAAATATCCTTCCTCCTCATATTTTCCATAGCTATTACCTCTGCTGTGGAACGTACGTCGTGGTGGTGAGTGAAGATCAGACCTTCCATAATTCTTTCCGCACCTTTTTTGAGAAAACGCCAGCGAAAGCCACAAACCCCTTGAGCTTAGGTGCATGTCTTTGGATCAGCTGAGCAACCTTCTGAGCTCTGTGCTGACTGTACGAAATAATTAGTACAAATATTACAATGGACAGGATCTTGAGAATGCTTACAGAGTTCCAGGACCGCGAATATCCTTGAGCTAAGCGACGAAAAGGTACTCGAGACGAGGGAAGATGGCGGTGGGGAGAGACTCCATGATCGAGAGATTATATGAACCAGCGATGTCAAGTCGCTCTAGACGAGGAAGAACGCGGCCGAGTCCGACGAGAAGGTCGACATTCCAGCGGTTGTGGGCGATCAAGCGGAGACGCCTGATGTTAGGCAGTGCAGCAAATACTCTGAGCATAGCAGTGACGGAGACCGAGGAGGTGTCAAGGTCGGCGCTATTGCAGGGCCTGAGCTCAAGCTCGTGGAGCGAAGCGTGAGGGATGAGAGCGTCAAAGTCGTCTTCTGTGAGGATGTGATCGGTCATGAAGAACAGGGTCATTTTTTCCAGCTGCTCGAGTTCGTGAAGATGGGCGAAGATGTTGCCAGGACCGGAGAGTCTGAAATCTATAATCTCCAACTTGGGTATGTGCGGCACCATCGGAATCGCAGCTTCAGTCTCAATTGCCAAGCGCACAAAGCCTAGTGTGCCAAAGGGCGATGGGCCATTGTCGGAGAGGGCAAAGCGAACATCCGAAGCCGTGATGAGTTTGTGCGTTTCGAAGACATAGAGGCGAGGATAAGCAGCGATGTGCTTGAGGGCTTGAGCGTCAATCAGGGTCCCAGTACGAGAGACGACGCTAAGCACGCGGAGCTCCTTGCACGCCTCAATGACCCTGATCAGACAACGGGGTGATGCGCCCATGACCTCAGGGTGGATGATCAAAGTGCCCAGATTGGGGCAGCGGCTAGCGAGGTGTGGCAGGAAGTTACCTGTCGAGTAATGACCGAAAGTGTTTGATTCTTCCAGTTTTAGTACCTCCAGGCTGGGGGTCAAGAAGTGGCTGATGCCAATGTGGCAGCCGGCAGGAGTGTGGGGGAGTTGGGTTGAGGATTCTGCTCCTGTGTAGATGATCCTGAGCTCTCTGAGCTTGTTGAACCGAATGTGGTGGAGCGGGGGTAGGATCATCAAGGGAGCAAGGTCGATATGAAGGCGCTGAATGTGCTCAGCGTACACCTGCTGGCGCTTCAGGCTGGTCATCGAAGAAAGTTTTCCGAGGAGACTGTTTGAGGGGTTGACAGGACCCAGTAAAGGCGCACTGCTTGGTCGAACATCTCCTTGTTAGATCGCATCACCGAAACCAACGTCGCTCTGTCGATTTCAACATCGCTCAACACCTTCGCGACCATCTCACGGGGTAAGGCGACGACCCGAGGGCGAGCCGCGCTGTCTGAAGACATGATGGTAGGAGGCGATACATTGGCAGTTACGGCGGCAAGTCCTGAGGAAGAAGGGGTTGCTGCCATATTTTAGCGCGTGTGTCATTTTGGGTGGAATGAATAACGCTCGCGTTGTTTGTTGAAAAAGGCGAGTGATTGACAGATTCCATGGGCTCAACGGTCAGTGCTTCTCGACCGAACTCGAAGAGTCTCTTCTTGACAAGCTTCTTCATATGGTGAAAGAGTAGAACAGCTGCGTTGGGACAGATCAATATGTCGAGCGCGGTGACATTGGCGAAAGGCGAGGGGACATTCAACATCAGGAGAGCCAATTCTCTAGTGATAGAGCTGCTCAGCCTGAGCTGGCGCACAGTTGGGTGGGCAGCGATGGCTTTCAAAGAAGATGGATCGATGAGAGTGACCGATTGTTCCTCGAGGGCAAGCACTTCGATCTTGCGACAAGCGCTAAGGACATCAATCAACAGTTGGGGGGTGCCGTCCATGACAAACGCGTCGATGATCAGTCTCTTTAGGTCGGTACAGAGAGTCAGAGGTAATAGGATGTTGTCCGTGACAACTCTGCCTGCAAACTTTTGCCATCCACTGACCTCGAGAAGACGCAGACGGGGACTGATCATGTGGCCAAGGTGAACGTACAGGGTAGGATAAGTACGGCATTCTCCGGGGTGCGCGCGAAATACACGTAACTGCTGAACAAGGGGAAAGAACGGAAACCGCATGCTCAGTTGGCTACGAGGAATCCCGAACTCGATCGTGATATTGCGCATCATATCTGCGAAGATTTGCTGTTCGTCAAACGGCATCTTCTCGAGGCGAGCAAGGAGGCCGTGGGTAGGAATTTCTAACTGCCAATAGAGTCTCTTAGCTGGTGCAGAAAAGGACTGGCAGTTGGCGCGGATGATCCTCTCTAAGTCCTCTCTGTTGAGAATGGGGTCGCTAAGGATCTGCTCAGCGATCTCTGGAGGAAGGGTTCTTGATGGACGACCTTGTCCAGGTAGGGTTGCGAAGTGGTTCGCCGTCATAGTTGTGCGTAAAGACAGAATGATTCTGTGGCAGGGTGTTGATGTTCCTGATTGTCGTGGAGAGAAAAAATTCTGTCAAAGAGACTGGACGATCAATTCAATTCGACATTGTCGGGTCTGTAAAACTCGCAGCGCCCGGTTGTCAACCCAACCACTTTGTTCGACATCGACTATTTTCTTGCACCCTCGGCGAACAAAAGACTTCCACAGCAGCTTGCCTTGATATCAACTGGCGGTCAACGAAAGTTCTCGATTATCAATCCCTTTCAACCCGTGTGGTCCAGACAGACTGAGACTCACTCCCCAAGGTCCGAAACCCAATAGGACGGTTGCTAGGATGTAGCATGTTCATCCAATGCATTTTAACCAGAGACAGAAAGTGCCTGCATTGGTTTAAAAGAGTGACAAGCTTGGCCAGCGGAGTCGACGAATACCAAGCTCAATGAACATCCTTGTCTCTTTCAACTAGGTTGACAGAGGCATGCTTTTGAGACACAATGGGTATCATTTCTTTCAGTTCTTCATCATGATCGTCTATAATCAGATATCTCGACTCTATTGCGAGCCACATTTCTTTGTCCTCAACTTTTCTTTCATTCAACACTTCGATTTGAGCATTGCTTCTCATGAGAGAAGAAGACAAGTGGAAAGGGAAGGATTTTGAGAGCAGATAACGAGGATATCCGCTCGTGATAGTAACAGCTTTTCTCACAACTTAACATTAATAAACAACGCCCACCGGCGAACACTCACACTGTCTACACTTCCTCTCCAGCCTTGACCATCTCGTACGCCTTGACAATCTCTGGAAGCCCCTGTACCCTCTCCAGCCACGACTTGACTTTGGGGTATTCATCCAGACTCAAACCAGCATATCCACACTGACGGATCCAAGGCTCAAAGTGCAAGTCCACGACGCTGTGATTCTCGCCCGCAATGACCCAACCACCCTCATGAGACTTCAATTGATTCTCCAGGACCACAAAACACCTGTAAGCCTGAGCTTCATACCGCTTGTACGCATCATCATTCTTGACTGCATTGTAATGGCGGAACCAATTACATTGTCCAATCATCGGCCCCATGGTGCTGATCAAGAAGCTAGTCCATTGATCAATTTCCACTCTGCCGGCCTCGTTGGAAGCACCAAGTTTGTTATCGGTGTCATAGTTGCGAAGAAGGTAGTTGATACAAGCCATGCTTTCCCAGCTGGTAATGTTGGTGTTTGGGTCGTGGAGAGCGGGGACACGGCCATTGGGGTTGATGGCGAGGAACTCAGAGCCCTTGACGCCGTGGGAGTCGGATGCGAAGGTCCAGACTTTGACTTTGTAAGGGAGGTCAAGTGCTTCAAGGACCGCGGCGACTTTGTAAGGATTTGGTCCTGTTGCATGGGCGTGGAGGATTAGGGGCAGAGAAGGTACTGGATAGACCAGACCAGATCCGACCTCGGATCTGGTCTGGTAGATCCTACTGGACCAGATCGCTTGGCAGATCTGGTAGATCCAGACCAGTACTAGATCGATCTAGTAGGAACTGGTCACTAGCATAGGGGTCAAGTATTGGTAGGAGAAGTGTAACATTCTTAGTCTTCGATCTCCATATCAATGGGGTACATGGCTACGTTCTCAAAGGTCCCTTCGAGGCTGGTTACAATGCCGGTTTTGAGCCAACTTTTGACACATTGAGCCTCTCCAATTGCTCGTGCAGACAGTCGTCCTCGGTGAGGTGTCGTCATCAAGCTAGCGCTTGAGAAGATGCGCTCTAGCTCATCTGACATTGCTAGTATAGTAAAGAGGTCTCGAGCCATACGTGATAGACGAGGGTAGGCCTGCTTTTGACGCTGTGTTGACCAGAATTCAAGAGGTCTATACTCATTTGGTTGTCGCCCTTCCTCGCACTACTTCTAGTATTCATTAGTAGATGCGTCGTTCTCAACATCGGAGAAGTCGCTTAAAAGGTCATCATCCATCTAGCGTGCGTTGTCTTTAACTGTTAGGGACTCTGTGTCCTTAGTAGTAACTAGAAGGTTAGCGTATTTAAGCCATAACTTCTTAACTTTAACGCGAGCTTAGCTAATCTAACTAGGACGACCTCGCTATGCCTTCTTAAGCCATTTCTACTTAAGACTAGGATAGAGCATAACTGCTGCGACATATATAGGTGACTAATTAGTCTTTAAGTAGTATTCATCTAACTTCTGCCATGCAAGGTTAATGCTAACATAAAGCATACGGTACTCTAGCGTGTTTTTAAATGGATCTTTAGCTAGAGCTTCGCGAGTAGGAGGAGGGGGAGGAGGCATTAATTAAGACTAGCTTTAAGACTGTTTCGGCCTTCTACGTTTAGCACGAACAGGTAGTAGTAGTGGTTCATAGAGATCCTATAAATTAAAGACAGTAGATGTCTAAGAGTTAACTATAGTATAATCCTAACTTAGCCGAACAATTAAGTACTCTTGCTTTATAACCTTAAGATAAGTAAGTAACTTCTCTATAGCAGGGATTACCTGCCAAATTGCGCTATAACTAGCACCTCTACCCTTACCCTTAAGACGCTAAGTTACCTAGTAGAGAGGCTAGAGAAGTCCGTTATATATAACGTTAATAGACTAGTTATCTTAAGTAATAAAGTCGTTAAGGAAGGCTAGCTTCTTACGGCGCTTCTCTAGAGGTAGTTTCCTACTATGATCGGTAATCTTGTTCTAGTAATCTTGCTACTCTACGTGCGCCTTATAATAGAAGTCCTTAACTGCTAGCCTAAGTTTAATAAAAACATTAATAGCGTCCTACATTAAGTTCTATCGAGTGTTATTAGGCATATAAAGCTCGCTAATCTTACTAATTAGAGGATGGTCTTATTGTAACTGCTTAAAAGCCTCGTTTCGTTAAGGCGAGGACCGTATCTAGATAATAGTGTTTCTTATCTTCCCTAGAGGGCCCTTCTTACGCTAAATAGAGAGGTTATAGTCCTTAAGATCGATTGCTATAAGCTCGTTCTCGAAAGCTTCCTTATCTACACCCTATAGTATAGCTCGAGCTATAAGGTTAATCTTATAGCTAGAGTAGCGAAGGCGTCGGTGTATAGGGTTAAACCCGTATTTAAGGCTAAGAGCTTTAATATAGGTGTCGTTATTCGTTGCGTTGTTAGTCATAAAGTAGCTAATACTTTCACTAATGTTAAAGTGCTTAATAATTGCCGCAATCTAGTTAGCAATATTAACGCTAGAGTGCTAGCTAAGTTGTTATAGAAGTGCTAGCAAGAAAGTCTTAAGATTGCTGAACTTATTAGCGAAGTGACAATTAATACCTAATAACGTACGTAGATTACGTAAAGTCTATAAATCAAAGGATAGATGAATCTTGCTTATAGCGGCATGTAGCTTCTTAGTAACAATGCCTATGTAGCTATTATATACCTACGAGATCTAGCTAGCAATTGTCTTATATGTTGCAAGATAACCTCGCTAGCTAACTAATAGATTAAGCGAAAGCAAAAGGTCCTATAGATAGGGCGATTTAAAGAGCTAAAATGTATAGTTATTATAACAAATTAAAGCTACAACTCGAGCCTTCTAAGCAGCTAGGTAGAAGACTATCCTATAGCGCTCTATATCTTGTCTATAACTTAAGCTCTTAGTTAACGAAGCAGCAAAGCTGCTAGATAGGCGACTACGCTTAGCCTAGCCTTCACTATGTATAGTAATGTTATAGGTTAATAAATGCTTAATGCTAGGTGCAGTGCTATAGCCTACGCTAAAAGCATAACGAGTAATACGTTTATTATAGCAAGAGCGACAGACCTAGTAGTAAGCCTTAGGAACTACGCCCTAGACCTACATTCGCTAGCTATAGTTAAAGATCTAGCTTTTGCTTGCACCCTTACCATTTAAGCAACCCTCGAGCTATATCTTAGAACCATCTCTTTCTCTCTAGTAGAGACGTATAAAGTCGACGTCTTTGTAGTAATCGAGGTTTCTAATAGTGTAAGAGGTATTAGTATACGTAGTAGTACTTCGGAAGTCGTTAGGTCGTTAGAATTTAGTAGGGATATTAAGCTTAGAGGAGGGCGCAAGGGTTGTTAATAGAGCTAAGTATTAGCTTTAAGACTCGAGTAGATTAAAGGAAGAGAGTATCTAAGAGCTCTGTAAGGTCTCTGCTAGAGTTTAAGAAGGATATATCGCCATGTAGTAGCTATAATATGGCTTATTTAGACGCGTTATTAAGAAGGCCTCGACCGAGGTCTCCCGAGGTTTAGCTAAGCTAATTAGAGCTCTACTAGAGTACTGCTAGACAGTCTGCCAGATCTACTAGATCGATCTAGTAGATCTAGTACACTGAACTAGTCTACTAGATCGCTACTTAGGATCTAGTCTAGCTAGCGATCTAGCAGATCGATCTAGTAGACTAGTTTAGCGATCTATCTAGTACTAACTCTAATTAGGGGTTTTATGGTGTTATTCGACATAGCTCGTAATCGTCTTATTAAAGGGAGGGAAGTTGATCGATTGTGAAGAATGTCGAGGTCAAAGTAGGGCAATAGTTAGTACTCTTATATGTTCCCGTCTCTCGTATCTCGTGTCTCGTACTAACAAGCGAAATCATTCTAATTTGTAAGATAATCTAGCAAAAACTCCACATTGCTGCTTCAGTGACGTTCATTCCGAAGTTCTGGTCTCCAAAGTTCAAGGAATTAATTTATGACAGCGCAAAGTGAACGTGTTCCCGGAAGAAGAGTTACCACAATGGTCCAATCGCAAGAAATGGAGATCGATTCGACGTGTATAACCTTTGGGGTAGGCCGTTGGGGTCACGAAGTATTGCGCCACCTCTACCCCAAAACCTTCTGTTGACGACCACTACCCCAACGACTACACTCGAATGATTGGATATGTATACAGCAGGTGTGCTCTGTCATTTTTGGCTCGTCAAAACGATCAACCCAAGATAACACTCGAAATGTCTTCTCAACTCTTCGAACCAATCACCATCGGTCGATGTCAACTTCAACACCGAGTCGTCATGGCTCCTATGACACGCTTCCGCACCGACTCGGATCATGTACCCCTACTGATTGCCAAAGAATATTATAGTCAACGTTGTCATACTCCCGGTACTCTCCTCATCAGCGAAGGCACCGCAGTCTCTGAAACGCTTGTCGGTCTACCAAGATGGGCAGGCTGTTGGAGCGAACCGCAGCTGGACGCATGGGAACAGATTACCCAAAAAGTTCACTCGAAAGGCTGCTTCATCTTCCTACAGCTTTGCTGTGCCGGTAGGACAGCCGACAAAGGATACCCCAAGCTCTCTTCGGGAGACATACCCCTTGATGCTCATGCAAGTGCTATCGAGATTGAAGACGATGAGACACCGCCAAAGCCAATGACAGAGGAGGAGATCCAGCAGGCAATTAGGGATCATTCTGAGGCTGCACGTAAAGCCATCGATGTCGGGTTCGACGGTGTAGAGCTTCACGCAGCCAATGGTTACCTCATCGACCAGTTTATACAAGAATCTTGCAACAATCGCAAAGACCGCTGGGGTGGCTCGGTGGAAAATCGCTCACGCTTTGCTCTGGAAGTCGCAGCCGCTGTTGTGAAAGCTGTTGGTGGCAATCGAGTTGGCTTTCGCATCAGCCCATGGAGCACCTATCACTCCATTACGCCCGTCAACCCAGAAGCTCAATTCTCGCACTTGGTTACCAGGTTGCAGAAATTCGACCTGGCCTACCTTCACGTCATTACCTCAAAGGTGGACAACTGGTATGACGTGGACCGTGAGAAGCCTTTGGATCTCGTCTTCAACAGCTGGACAAAGGATACCCCTGTCATCATCACTGGTGGGTTCAATGCGGAATCGGCGAGAGCTGCGATTGAGGAGGAGTACAAAGATTTCAGGGTGGCTGTTGGCTTTGGACGATCGTTTGCTTCGACTCCGGATTTGGTGGAATGCTTCAAGAAGGGTATCGAGCCAAATGCCTTTGATGGCACTTTAGCTTACACTCCTGAGACGCCGAGAGGGTACATTGATTATCCGTTCTTGACAAGCTAGATAGGAATAGTAGGTTGCCGCAGGAGAACACTTTCGTCATCAATCACTTGCACGTTCTACCGACGAGCGTGGAAGTCAACTGGAACAAGCCTCGTCTTTGGAATCTCTGATCCCGAAAGACTTGTTTCAACTATCATGAGGAGACTTTTTAGAACTTCTGGCGAACTACCTTTTTGAAATCTTGCATTCCTCTTCTTTTTTAGCATAAGAAACTGCTCTCTTGCTCCGTGTAGAGGGCGCAATTTTGATTAGTAAGCAGGCACGAGCAGGGGCATCGCCGAAATCTCTCGATCTCGAAGCGAAGCGCTGCTCTGAGCTTCTGACTACCGCAGCGAGCTTTTGCCATGTCCAGTCTCTCTACATCACATCAGTATTATCCCATCCACCACCATGCTTTACTCTTGAGGATTGTAGAGATCTTCCGCTTGAAACATGAAAATATTGCAGTCGTGATGGCTCGACAACCTAGCTCGTAACCCGAGATGACGAGTGGCAGAATCTAGTCGTTCTAATCAAAAGCCTCCCTACCCTTTACAAGGTTACATGGGGATGTGCTAAACCTATGCCTCTGTATCTTAAGATATATCAACGATACCTTGCATCAATGTCAGGTCTATCTAACGAATCTTGTTTTCCGCAGTCTGGTTCCATCATCGAACGCTCCGATTCGCTTCAATCCACAAGAGTTGGAATTAGCAACATCTCCCTACATATATGGTGTAGTAATGCACTGCGATCACATGGACTCGCCTAGTTAGGTAAATCACAGCAAGCAAGCTATAATCGACATGGTCGCATGAGCAGCACTAAACCTTTAACACGTTAGTTTACATTTCGCGGTAGGCTACGGGGGTCTACCTCTCGATACCCCTCTTCTAAACGTTTCCGCAAAGGCTAGAATAGGTGCTCTACAAACTCTAGAGCTCGTGGAACGTGATTTGGGGCAATCACTAAGATTCTGGGCAACAAAGACAGACTTCAAAGTGCTGCGAAGCTTGAAAGCACATTCCTATCTGCGGACCTCCGATTTCCGCTGGCTGGCAGAGAACTGTCAATTTACGTCTCTGCAAACTCTAGTGATTCGCCTTGCAGCGGACGACGATGGAGAGGAGTCTATCATCGAGATGGAAGACGCGGTAACAGACCTTTTGTCATCCTTACCTCCACTTCGATATGTGAAGCTGACGGGCCAATACACCCAACGCGTTGTCGACACTGTACTGGATTGTTGCGGTCGGAATCTACGACAGCTTCTTCTGGGCTCGCCCTGTGACCTCACTCTTGGTGTCTTCGCCTCTATATCACTTTCCCACACGATACGTGATAAGTGTCCACTCATAGAGGAGCTTGCTCTGCCTATGATGCGATCCAAGGGTAGTGCGGGCGAGGTCGCTATATACCGAAGCTTAGGCAAGATCACCTCAGTCCGCAAGCTACGTCTCTTCATATACTGCTCTCAGCCTTTTCTCTGGGGGGAAGATCAGCCCATGAGTCTTGATTATCGTTTAGAAAACGGCGAGGAGGATTTGGCAGATCAAGTGTATCATGCCGCGATGGATCTAGCGATCGACGACACGCTTGCCGCTTCCATTCTTGAAGCTATAGTCACCGGTAGAGGATCGACACCTTCAAGCTTGGATTCTTTGGACATACGTGTTCATGCTCTTAAAGGCCTTGGCTCATTTGGGTCTGCGTCTGACATTATCCAGATGCTCCAGTACATCGGACGCTCATGGACTTGTACACGCAAGTTTGGCGGCAATTTCATCCATCAGTATCATGTCGCGGAACATGACCCAATGGACAAGTTTCGGAGGGGAAATATGGATATCTTGGACGAAGAAATAGAGATGCTGATCAAAGAGCCCATGTTCCGTGTCTGGCCAGAAGGCAGTAGAGAGGGCTGGGAGAAGGTCTGGCACAGCTTCCCCTTGGGAACGCTTGTTTCCGCATAGACCTCATGAATGTAGCTGGCAAGATCCGCAGTCTCCCAGGATCGATTGGAATTCCGTAATGTAGTGCTACAGAGTTTGCCTGGACTTGTGAGCAAATGAATCCACGTTATAGTGCAGGAGTGTTGAAGAAATTCGTCTGAACCATTTTCTACGACATTTGCAAGAGAAATCAACGGTCGCGGGCTGTTATTGTTCCTGGCCGATCTGCGGCATGAAAGAGTGAGAGATAAATGCTTCCCCCGCAGGAATGATGCGGATAATTGCTACCATGAATGTTACCCGCCTCTGCACTTAGCCGAGTTTTTCACGCTGTCACTAGGTCTCCAAGATGCACATTAGGTATTAGTCGTCTCGCTGTTATACGGGTCTAGAAATAGCGGTATGGAAGATAAGAGAGAATAAGGCTAAGCGTATTGACAATGCGGTTCACCCCTCATAGGCTATCAATATTTTTGATGTTGAATGGTTGTTCTTCAAGAAGCCACAACAAACATTCCAAGAGCACAGTCGTTACGGTCCTGGAACCAATTGATGTAGACGTCGTCTGGTGTGGTCATGACGTAGCTCACCCGACCGGGCTGACACTTGCCCGAATCGACTTTGAAAGCTTTATCGCCAGCAGGAACGAAGCTAGTGACGGTATTGCTGCTTTCGGCAGTGACAGTAATCTTGCCACCCGGGGAAGCACTCAAGTCATAAGAGGAAGTCTTTAAATCCTGCTTATTGGGCAGGCTGAAGTAGGTCGTGCAAGTCTTGCCGGCATAGGAAACGGGAATGTCAAATTCGACGCAAGTGCTGTCAGACTTACTGACCTGGCCAAAGTAGCCGGCATTGCCATTGATTTCGAGACGGTGGGGAAACTCATAAGAATTGTTGATGAGTTGAAGGGGGCATTTCCCGCCGGAAGTATTGGCAGCAGGTTCAACGAAACTCGTCCTGCTAGTCACCATGGTAGTGGCAGTGCGCGCACCGGAGGGAGCAGAAGAAGGGGTGTCCATAGCTTGAAGCATCGTGCTGGTGATAGTAACAGTCACAGTGACTTGAGCTGGGCAGTTGGCGGTTACAATGGTGTGTGCAGGGACAGCACTGCCTTCAGCAGCTGAGGCGGCTGGGGGAGAAACGCCAGATAAAGTGCCAGACGAGTCTACAGCAGCAGCACTCTGAGCATGCTGGGAAGTATGGGCAATGGGTGTCGGCAGAGTGGTCTGAACCCAAACCTCCTTAGAAATAGTACTGGTGCAAGGAACAGTCAAGGTGGTAGGGGCTGTCACAGTAATAGTCATGGTCTCATCGATGGTGAGGGTAGTGGATCCAGTACAGTAAGTGACAAGGTTGGTAACGATAGTGTAGATAGACCAGATTCGGACAGAGGTGGTCACAGGTTTGCCGCAACCGGAAGTGCAAGTGGCTGTGACAGTAGAGGTGTTTGTAAAGGCCTTGGTGGTTTCACTCTCGGAAGCAATAACGGGATTCTTGCTGGTGGTCGCGTAGATGAGATCGGTAGAGAGCTTGGTCGAGAGGGATACCGAGGAGGTCTGAGTTGAAGTGGAAGCCAATGGAGTCTGGGCAGAGGTGAGAGTGGAGGTGACGAGGACGCTATCAAAGGTGCTTCCCGATCCGCCCGCTAGAATGCTGCTCGAAGTCGAGCTGGACGATGATTGAGAGCTTGAAAAGAGTGTAGATGTTGCACTAGAAGTCGAGGACGAGGATTGCAAGACACTAGATGGCGATGATGGCATCTGGGAACTTCTCGAAAGAGTGATAGAGCCAGTCGCTTGCGTCAAAGCCGCCTGGAATTGAACGCAGAGCCTTCGATAAACTTCCACTGAAGCTAAAAAACAAGTCAGTATGTGCATATAGTAATGCAAGACCCCAACTGACTTGAGGCGTCCTCCACAGAGCATCCAGAATTGAGCTCGGGGGTGGCAGCAACGATGAGACTGTCGAGATTGCGACACATGCATCCAAAGTCGTACGGAAGACAAGTGGTGGCAGACTTGGTGGCGTCACTGAATGCTCCAGCTCCACAGTTCGGAAGACTGCCAGGATTCGGCAAAGCAGAAGGTATGGTCGTCGGTCGTGGCGCGTTAGGTGAATCGCGGCACGCAATATCGTAATAAGCATCTGGTGTAACTAGATTGAGTTGTTAGACCGATAGTTTTCCCTTCTTTAGAAATACTCACTTGCTACACTGTCTGCAGGACAAAGGGCGTCCAGAATTGGCACTGCAGCATTCAAGATTTGGTCGATGTTCTGACACTGACATGTAGCGTTGGCTGTGTAACCGCCTGCGCCGCAGAATGCAATTATACCACTCAACAATCCTGGATCGGCGCAGGGTGGCTTTGTTGCTTGTGAAGCAACCAACGTAACCGTCAGAGCAAACGAAAGTATGTTGAGAATCATGATAACAAAGAGGTAACAAATCAGCGAATTCCTTGCGATGTCGGAATTTGATCGAGCTGTTCGAGAGAAGGGATCTCGCTGTTTATGTCTCGAGAAGATCCACCATCTCTCGGATGAATCTAGATTCGCAGCTGAACATGGCGGAGTCTATAGGCTCCATGGTGCAAAAGCTACCACAGGTACTTCGCATGGAAACTTTGATCCCACCCATGAACCAACTACTAGGTATAGCATAGTCTGGACTACTTGAACCTTGTCTCAGTGTGCGGAATGGATGTCTGACAGGTCATGGTGCTTGGCTAGGATGGCAATACGGAGATAGTTCGTGGTCCTGCTATCGGTGCTCGTGTGAAACCTTGAGAAGCTGCTCTCCGTAGATTCCTGCAATCACTTGCCAAGGTGGGTTAGGATCCCTTCAGCTGCATAAAAGTACAACCGATTGATCGAGATCCTTGACGGCGCGTTGAATGCGCCGTGGCTGGACTCCAGATAGCACCACAGCTTGGAAGGTTGGTCTAAGTACCAGAAGAACCAGGATTCATACCCCCAGATTGAGAGGCTCAAGCAAGCGGCGAGGCCGAGAAGCTAGTTTGTTCCTGTAAACCTTGTTCTGAGTTGTCGAACACATGCTCAGGTACGTACCCTACAACCATGTGTTTCCCTAAAGGGGAAGTCTCCCGCGTCCGGGCTTGGCAGGTACAGCTGAGCGGCTCGTCTCACTGTTGAAGCGCGCCCTCTTGCCCCGCAAATCCTCTAGTCTTTTGAGGCCGGACGTTCGAGCTTTCAGATTCCTGCCGCCCGTGCCAAACCAGGATGATGGATGTGACCTCACATCGCTGACTCGTGGGCGCTTGTTTGACCTGATTAAGAGTGTACTGTAATTGTTAGCTCCACCAATCCAATACAGCTCAAGCACAAAGCCGTTTACCGAGAAAGACGTGCAAAACCAATGGATGAAATCATCCTTTCTGCAAGACAATGCGACCCTGTCTGCTAATTAATTGTGATATGACAGACATCCAAGCTGAGTTGAGACAGATGGGCGGATGGAGAACATAGCAAGTCTTTCTCCTCGATTCCAGGTATCCAACGAAGTCAGTCTCTATCTATCAGTGGCGAAGCGTTCTCGAGCATGTCTACCCACCCCCTGATGGAAAAAGACTTTCGGCACTCTAGAACCAGAACACTACGCCATGAAAATTATATCTATAAATTACCGTCCCATTGTCTTACTCTCCGTTTCTTCTTAAATTACAATAGGTGGTAAGGATGTCTAGCACGGTGGGTAAGAGGACAAAGATACTATTATAAAACCGTCATGCCTAATACGCTATGCATGACGAAATGAACTTATTAGCATTTAGGAAGCCTTTTGCCTTACCGTAGATCTCTAATAAGAGTAGCTATAGAAGAGAATATCTTTGGAATGCGTCAAAATGCGTCGTTACTATCTTAATACGTTTGGTAAGCAGGAAGAACGAAACAAGCGCTCCTACTCCGAAGAAAGGTCCTAGTGTCTCCTTCTAATAGACCTCGTGCGGTTACTCTTTCTGTTCCTGGAAGGGCTCGACAATCGCGCCTCAAAAAGATAGACCCTCGACACCCTTACTATAGAGCAATTCGAGGCGATCCTTAATAACGTAGTCGCTCTTGCCGCGACAGATCCTTAATTCAAACGAAAGGTCTTCTATACTGTCTTGCAAACAGTCCGGATCCATGATATCGCGTTTTCCATTCTTCGCTCTAAGCTTAAACATCTCGGCACATTTAGAGTTAAGAAGCTGGCCAATCCTAGATTCAGATACAATCGGCCCTATAGTCTAACTTATCGTGATCTTTTAGGCGTTCGATTCGTGTTCCATGGCTTTTAGCCGCGACTTAGCGAGCGGTGGCAAACGCGACTATCTTCGATCGGGATGCGTAACTAGGCTGGCGTCGGTAGATAGTCTTAAGTTGGCTGCTCCTTTCGTTAAAGGCTTTCTTTCGACGTCTGGTGCTCTACGCCGAGATCCTTGATCAGCTGTAGCGACTACCCGTGCGAATTCGACCTGAGCAACTTGGACCAGCAGCCATACACGTTTGCGCACTGGTTTAATCACTTTCCTCTTCCATTTCAGCATAAGAAACTTGGATATTGAACCTTTCTGACGTCTTTTTCGCATCCAACTGTTACACGGACCCAGTATTTCATGTATGGCGACTTCCAAGACATCCCTTTAAGGATGGAGTTATCATGGTATCCATGTTTCGACAAATTCCAATGTGCAAAACTCTGGGTTCCTATAGACCACAATTCAGGTTTGGCGCCGTCAAGTTATGATGGTCCTGCAGTCGAGATGGCATTGATAATGGTGAGCTTCTCCTGAGAAATGGAACTCTTCTGATGGACTAACCTGCTGTAGCTGCCTGGCATAGGTCATGTACAGAACAACAATTACTCGGAATCTCCATTGATCCTGAATCCGGGTGGCTGGGGCGGTAGCGGCGTGGACATGGTACGACAAATTGGACAAGCTATGAGGAGAGTCGTTGGCGAAGACCGAGACATTGTGTCGTATGACCCACGAGGCGTAGGCTTTACTAAATCGACGGCTGATTGTTATACCTACTCGTCCATCAAAGATCCGATCGATCAATTCGACGTGATCCGCGGTCAATTCAACAGAGGTCAGTATGCCGTGGTCCAGGAAAGTTTTGGTCTAGTGAACGCAAGCGAAGGCGCTTTGAGGCAACAGGATTATGCCAATCGTGCCGTGTCGCAGCTCTGCAAACGAAAGGACGATCTCGAAGGTGAAGATAGTATTCTGCGGTACCTCGACTCACAAACTACTGCAAGGGACTTGCTGTGGCTTGCCGACGCTTGGGTTACATGGTGCGGCAAGCACTGCGCAGCCGCGAAAGCTGCCCCAGCTGTGGCAAAGACATCGACGAGACCAGGCCTCTCTTATCTCGGGTTCTCTTATGGTATACTTGCGGTCGCGATGTTGGGTTCGGACTGAAGTTAACACTTCCTTAGGTACTGTACTGGGAGCTACGTTTGCCACCATGTTTCCCGACCGGGTTGAGAGAATTGCTCTAGACGGTGTTCTTTATGTCCAGACAATCGCCGAGCCTTTTTCTGTCAACATGCTGGAGGACACCGACAAAGTATACGGGATGTTTTTCCGATACTGCATCAGAGCGGGGCCATCTCAGTGTGCATTCGCGAGGGAGGGTGATGATGTAGACAAGCTCCGTTCACGAACCGAAGGCGTCTTGCGAAGCTTGCGCGAGCACCCGTTGGTTGGCGTACATCCAGCGACGAACACGCCCTCTATCATAACTTGGGACACGGTGCAAGCAGCAACGTTCGGTATGCTCTACAGTCCCGAACTTCTTTTTCCACTGCTTGCGGTGATCTACGATCTTCTCTACCGGAAGGAGTTTGAGGTACTACATGCGAGTATGCCACAACTTCACTCACGGTCAGACCCGCAAACATACTGTTCAACAAGGCTGCCAACTTCCTTTGATTCTGGTGATGCACAGACTGCCATCCGCTGTGCAGACCAAAGAAACTACGACCGAACCATTCGAAAATTGGAGCAACGTTTCGACGAAATGGCAATCGTCTCCTCCTTTGCGGACGTCATGATCAATGTAGATTTGCCCTGTAACGGGTGGAAGATCAGCTCTGCAATCCAACCCAAACCTTTGTTTGACAGCGAGATGGCGATCAATGCATCTTTCCCGCTATTGTTCATCAGTAACAGCTTCGATCCCATCACGCCTTTGCGTAACGGTGTCAATATGGCAAGAAAGTTTACCGATGCAGGACTCGTTGAGCAAGAGGGCGAAGGTCATTGAAGCATCGCTGAGATGAGTTACTGCACGGTCTCGAAGATCCGCGCGTACTTCGAGAATGGCGTGGTACCACCAGCACCAATCTTGAGCAGCAGCGAGCAAAGTCAACGTAGTGGAAAATGGGATAGGTGTCAGATTGATGAGTGGCCCTGGCATCCAATCAGAGAGCACGAGAGATCCCAGTATGTTGCTCTTGGAAACCAGGCAGGAAGCGCAAGCTACATCGCGCAGGGCAGTGCACAGGCCCAGGATCGTGAAGAACTCGTGCGAGCTTAAGAGGACGTGAGAGATTACGTGACACGTCGCGGATCGTGGGGAGCACACTCTTTTGGGCAAGTTTTATTCACTCAACAGTAACGTCAGTAACGGCGTCCAGGCTAACTTCCATGAGTCTATGGGCGCTTTATGATGCAGAGAAGAAAAGCGGCAGCGGGGAGACTCTTCGTTCAATCAAACCCTAAGGACTCGTGATTATATTAGCTTCTAAATGTATTGCCACTCTTAATGGATAAAGGCCCATGATCAAGATAAGATCCGGAGCACGTAACGACAGATGCCAAATAAGGAACTTTACCATCTATAAGCCGTCTATAGATAAGCGTTTAAGGGAACCTCTATTTANTACTCTGCTCCTATCTACTATATTACTAAAGACATATATAAAAACACTCTTAGCGTCGGATATAGAGGGATCGAAGCAAATCGCTAGTCGATAATGGTCTTAATAATACCCTTTACTACTTTTAACTTATCTACCTTTCGGCGATGCCTTATCGCGCCTTTACTTATAGCTTCGACCCCTTAGCCTATTCGTGTTCCTTTCTTGTTCTAAGCCTAATCCGCTATAAATGCATTAGTCTATATAAAGACGTGCATCATTACGCCCTTTAAAAGCTAATAGAGGATGTCGACCATTATAGACTAATTAATCTCTATATATCGGTAGTTAAAGGCAAAGTAGTTAATGTCGTAGACTCTCTTATTAGGGTCTAACTCGGAGTCTAAATCTAAGCTTTCGGACGACCTATTAGCATAACTGCTTAAGGTCGTCTATAGAAGGCTATTATCTCCTAGTTTATAGCGTCTTTTTCGAGGTAGCACACTGCTATGTGTACGCTAACGTATAATCTGTAGCTTCGTGTCTTCCTATGTCCGCTAGGGAATAGTAATCTCTAGGTCCTCTCGTAGGTTAGGGTGAATTATATACATTGTACACTAGCGACCACTTACTACTCCTATAAGTTTTACTTGCTCTTCGTAGTCTATAGTAATAGCTGCAATGATCGGAACGCAGTTTCTTACCTAACCATCGGCATAGGAAATTTTAACGCCGTTCTAGTCTACTACCGTAGCTTTTTTTATAGAGTCGAACACTATGTTAAGGCACCCGTAAAACTATTAGCTCCGTTAAGCGGCGTCGCCCTCTTTAATGCATAGTAGTAACGCTAGCAGTATTAAACTAGGCCTTTCGTTTAAGTGCCGAGCCTTAGCCTTAAGATTACTAATCGATAAATAGACTACATAAGCCTGCAGGTCTCTAGACTAGAGTGTTAACTTCGTTTTATCGCTCGCTACGATTAACAGCACAATAGTTACACTAGCCGTCTCTAGTTCCTAATTAAGCGTCTCCTGCATGTTCTACTACTAATCCCCTAATAGCATATTAGTATACCTCCTACACGTATGCTCCTTATCGCTCTATGCTCGATAAGGAGCATAGCATAGGTCGTCGCGAAATCCCGCGTATCCTAAGAAGAACCGGACTACTCGTATAGGGTCGCAGTACTATATCTAATATGTAGTAGAACCTATAGTACTTATCTCGCTTAGCATAGTAATCGACTTCGAGACCTACGGTCCTATATCTACTATAGTTAGGATGTTCTCCATTTTTCTCCTTAGCTCCTCTGCCGATTTCTAACTAAGCATATTTCTTAAATCGTTAATGCTAGGGTGTTTTAAAAGTCGCTCGATGCCGTTCTTAGATATGTTCTCTCGGTAGATCTATCGTATAAAACTAAAGTTAAACTTGCCGTTAAATCCGTTAAGCAATGTTGCTTTAGTTATGTCCTATATTAGGCATCTAGTGCGTGTTAGTAGAGCAATTAGGACCGCCGTTCTAGGCTTGTCCGTACCGTTAAAGAGGCACTCTAGCCCTATAGCCGAATTAATCCTTAAATGCTTCGCGTACTTCGGTCGCTACTATAGACGATAGTCGCCTACTAGTTAGGCGGATTGTAGCGGAACCGGTATAAGACACTATCTCGCTAGTGTTACTAGGGAAGTCTTAGGATCCGTCTGCATCTAATGCCTAGGTAAGGCTCTTATCTATAGACATGTCATTATCGCCGTCTTTAGAGGTAAGAGCGGTAGGTATCGTCTATATTGCGCTTACGATCTCTGCCTAGTCTATAAAGCTACTAGTTAGGTTATAGTCTTCGTTAGCCTCGAATCTAATGTATTCTTCTAATTTGTCATCTCCTTCCTCCTCTTACGTAACTATAGCCTTAAAGCTCCTTATATGCTGCTATAGTCCGCTTTCTATACGCGATAATAACGTAGGTTATATTAGAGCCGCGTTATGTTATGCATTGCCGTCTTAATACGCCTCTACGGCATAGTTACTTTATTCGTTTAGTGTGTCTTAGAGTTCTATATTACTGTTAGTACTGCTAGACAGTTATAATCCGAGCCCCTATATTAGTCCGCGCGTATAGTATAAACTAGTCGTCTCCTAGTACGTGTTTACGATATTCTATCTAGCTCTATACC